CTTGTCTTCTGTAACCTCCGCAGCAACCTCCGGGATAAACGTGGGATCTTCGTGAATGTCAAGGGAACGCATAAGCGAGAAGTTGTTCATTCTGAATAAGAGAGAGTCGCTGCTGGAGTTTTCAACCTCAACTATGACTAATTTTTCAGACTGTTCAGAAGGAACCTTTACCCAAGAACATTTTGTCTTAGCAGTCTGCTTTCACAGCAGGGAGTTGCAACAGTTACAAGCTAATCTCTCTCACATATTTCCTAAAGGCAGCATCAAATGTATTCTGCCTGTTTAACAAAGCCTCCTACCTCTTGATATAAAGCCAGCCTCTGTAAACTCGAGCTGGGAAAGAAATGGTGGAAGTTCTTGATTCACTTAATTAGACCTCTCATTCACAGACCAAACAAGACAGGAGTGGAGAGGAAAATAAAAGAAGAATGTAGTGTAAGCTGTACATTCAACCACTAATCCTGTTAAAACAAGCACCTCTTCAGACTTTTCCATGACCTACTTGAACATAGTTTGTTTGCAATCAAATACAATGGAGATTGCAGCATAAATCCATAGCTTGGACCACACAAAGCAAGGAGATCAAAACCCTGTCACAGATATCCAGGAATGATCTGCAGTTTAACAGCAGTGACACTTGCCTGAGTTTGATTTGTTCAAAAAGCCCACATCCCAAGTCAAATTCAGGGGGGACACAGTTCTCAGTGTCCTGGGATCTGCACAGATGACCCTTTAAATGATGGGCAAACTACGTGAAAAAAGCACTAAGAGGTTCCTGAACCTCTTACCCAAGTGTCCTCTTACTCCTCGTGCAATGTATACTTGAAATCAGTTTCTGAACAAAAACACATGTGAGAGAAAGAAGGAAGGCTGACGTAAAATAGAGAACATCATTAAAAAGAACTTACCAAACTCTCTGAACTTTATGTCTGGCCTCACTTCCCCACTACTACTATTCTTTTAACCCTATCAGTGATAAGAACAGCATATTTGCACAGCCACCAGCTTTGAAAAAAAGATTGTCTTTTAACAAAAGAGCAAAGACAAAGAGACATAAAGGCAAACAAAAGGCAAAAAGAAAAGCTGGTGAATACAATTTCTATGCACCTGCACGAGTGTGAAAAATTATTAATTTCTTCTCAGAGAGACCCACTCAAATGACAGTAGTTAAAAAAATAATCAAGCAAACATCTGTGAAGTAATCTTATTCTCCAATCAAATTATGCAGCTTTCTCTTTATAAATACAATTACAGATAACCTACAAGCAGTGTGCAATGCAAGTACCCTAAACCTAAAACAAGAAATAAAAGAAACCCAGAGCAGGAGAAAAGTCCCCACGCTTACCTCATTAAGAACGGCAGTAAGCAGATCTGCCCAAAAGCCTAGGAAAAAAGCAAGCAAAAATGTTGGTTTGCAGCAACTTTGACCTGAACACCTTCTTTCACTGGACAAGGAATGCTGAATATGCTCACGATTGCTGCAGGCTCAGAGCACCCTAGAGAGCATACAATGCTATGCAGTAAAGAAACAGCACACTTGTATTTTACACTACAATGGCCTGAAATGCTTTCCCCCCACGTTTCATATTTATATAATTGTAAAAAGAGTATTCTTCTGATTCTTCTTTGTCTTTCCCTGACTCACACAGAAAGCCTGCATCTGCAGCTACAACACTTTTAAGAAGCTTCTATATAGCTCCCATCCATTACTTCCTTCATGTTCCACAGATTATGCAAACACTGGATAAGGCAGGAGCTTATTATTTTATATACTATTAGGACCTTGCCCATCTCTCAACCAGCTCCCGCAGTAACATGAGTCAACTTGGAAAAGTGTGAGAAATTTAGAGACTCTGTGGTAGCAGACAGCAGAAAATAGTCTTTCAATACCCTGGCTCCCAGAGTAGCAGCATCAACAGCCCCAAAGAGACCAGCCTTGTTCTGTCCTGTCTTAATACCTTAACAATGGACTTCAGAAACACGTTGTGGGATGTACAAATACAGTACAAGTCTGAGTCAAGGCTCACACTGCTAGCCCCACAAAGCAGCATGTTACCTCACACATTGCATAAGAATTACAGCACCTTTTTGAAAACACACGGCTCCTAATCTACATCTAACACAGCACAATCCTGTAGGAGATTGAGAATCTCACATCCCCCTTCCAAGGGAGGTATCGGAAAGGAAAGAAGCCCTTCGCCATGCACCAGAAGCCGCCACAAAGCAAAAGATAACAAAGTACTCTGGTTGTTACATCTTGACAGAAAGCCACTCCTGAGGTATTCTCACAAATAAACACAGCCTATCAAGCTGTTTCACTCCAGGCCCAGCCGGACATCAAGCTTTGTAACAGGCGACACGGCTGAAAAAAAACTTTTGTGCGCTCAAAAGGAAAGGCCAGGCAACAGCAGCAATAAGGCCCAGCTGCTTCCAGCAGAAGCAGGTGCGAGGTGGGCAGTGCAGGGGATGCAGGCTTTTGTCCCCTCTGCACCCCGACACCGAGGGGTCCCAGTCCCGCAGGCTCCCGAACACGCCAGAGCCCAGCCGAGGGGAGCCCCGGCGGCACAGCTGCCTTAGCACCCAGCTGGAACCCCCCTCACAGGGCTGCCGAGCCCTTTAACGTCCAAGGAAAGCTGCTGGCAGCTCTATTTCGAGTTTGATGTCAGCTCCAAAGGTCTCCACACTCGAAGACACACAGGACCCCCTCAGCCAGAGGCCGGCGCTCTCAGTGCCCGCGGCATCACACCTGTGGGGCCGGGAGAACCCGAGAGCTCGCAGAGAGCCACACCCTCCCCGCCGAGCCCCGCTCCCTCCGGACCCCCCGCCCGGTTTTCCCCGCGCAGCCCCGGGTTTCACTGCCCCGTCTGCCGGCCCGCACTCACCGTGTTAGCCACATGGACGAAGAGGCGCAGCCCGGCGCCGCACAGCCTCGGAGCCCACTGCGGAGAGAAGGCGAGAAGTGAGGTGATCGCCCGCCCCGCCGCCCCGCGCCCCCCCGCCCGGTCCGGCCCGGCGCTCACGATGTCCCGGGGCGGGCCCGTTGGCCCGGCCTGGCGCGGCCCCCGGCGGTGCAGCACGGCGGCCGCGCTGCCCGTGTATCGCCGCCCGCAGCACAGGTAGGCGGCGGCGGCCGCGGACAGCAGCGGCAGGAGCAGCAGCAGCAGCGGCGCCATCGCGGTGCTCCCTCCCGGCGAGCCCTCCCGCTGCCGGGGCGGTGCTGGGGCTGGCCCCGCCCGCAGCCGGCCTCAGGCGGCGGGAACCGAGCAGCGGCGGGGGTGACTGACGTCCCGCCATGTCCCGCTTCTTCCAAGCGCTCCGCCGCGCCGGCGGCGCCCGAGCCGGGGGTCCGGGCGTGCAGGAGGCGGACGTGCAGCAGTGGGGGCTGACAGGTCAGCGGGGAGCCCGGGGAAAGGGTCGGCAGGGAGCCTCAGGGCTGTGGGTGCTGTCGGAGATGGCGGGGGGCGGCGGAGGGGCCCCGCGCTGCCTGGCGCTGCCCAGCTCATAGAATGGCTTGCGATGGAAGGGGACCTGAAGATTATCCAGTTCCGACCCCCCTGGCATAGGCAGGCACGCCTCCCTCTAGACCAGCTTGCCCAAAGCCCCATCCGACTTGGCCTTGAACACCTCGAGAGATGGGACATCCACAACTTCCCTGGGCAGCCTGTTCCAGTGGCTCACCATCCTCACAGTAAAGATTTTTTTCCTAATATCTAATCTAAATGTACTCTCTTTTAATTTGAACACATTCCCTCTTGTCTTGTCGCTGCAGGCTCCTTTAAATAGTCTTGCCCCATCTTTCCTGAAAGTTTCCTTCGGGTACTGAAAGGCCTCAATTAGGTCACCCGGATGCCTTCCCTTTTCCAGCCTGGACAACTCGAGTTCTCTCAGCTGTAGTTGTCTGAGCTCTGTACCAACAGGCCTTAGGCCAGAAATAAATAAAAGTGCAAATAAAGTGAAAGTCAAAGTGAGCTGCAGCTGCTGCAGAGATGGTGTTGCTGCGTGCTCGCCACTGTGTGCGAGCCTTCCCTGGATGCCGCAGTCCCCGTCCTTGGCTTTGTGGGTAGGTTTGGGCCAGGGCTGAGCTCGGCTTTAACCCCCCTAGTGCCTCCGCACAGCCTCAGGCAGCTCTGTGCTTCGGGACAACACGAACGAGGGTTGGCCTGTTCAGTGGCCTCGAAATGGGCCTGTGTTAAAGTGCTTTCCGCTGCCTGGAGGGTGATGTTAAAGGGGAATGCCAGGGCAATCCATCCTGCCCGCACGTTTTCCTTAGCTTGCTGGAATCCTCACCTCAGTCCGTGGGCTGGTTTGGGTTTGTGTATCCTGCGGGCTGGTGAGTTACTTCATGCACTCAGTGTGCACATTTTCCCAGAGAGGAGAGGGCAGCAATGCCACAATACACAGCACTTGAGTCCAAGCACAAGGAAAGGTCTTGCCAACTCCTATGTGACTTGTATTGATTTTGACATATTGTGCCCCATAATAAGGAGTGCAATGGTGGTAGTAGTCACAGTGGCCTATAGTGGAGGCCTGCCTTAGCTTTAAGTACAGAAAATGTAGGAAACATCTTGTTGAGAAATTATTAATATACAATAATTGATTGTAACAAACATTTCTGGTAGCCTAAAGCATGTCCCTGGCTCTAGTACTTACATATTTAAAAAAGTGATTCAGGCTGAAAATCAAGCTATCTTTTAGGAATTCAAAGTACCAGCCTAATTATTAGATCAGGTTCCTTGTACAGTCTGTTGCAATGGCTCGGGGCATTTTTGTGTAAGTTTCTGAATATGCTTTAATTTAATTGCTATAACACTGGGGTCTTTGCTGTCTGGGAGGGTAAACCAGCTTCTGCTGTAGGCTGCTGTGCTTTTCCTGTAAGGCAGATGTTTGGGAAGGCCTGTTCTGGGCAGGACCTGTTTCTAGTGTGTGTATGGAGTGCATTGGGTGACTGTAAGTGTAACAAATCATTTTTATTCCCAGGCATTAAACTTCGTCCCTATCAACTGGAAGGTGTAAACTGGCTCGTGCAATGCTATGAAGTCCAGCATGGCTGTATCCTGGGTGATGAGATGGGCCTTGGGAAGACTTGTCAGGTGTGTCTTCTTCTTCTGGAAAATGATCTTTGCTTAAATTTTTGGGTTTTCAGCCTAGTGTTTCTGCAGAATGAAAAAGTACCCTAATTATTCTCCCCCGCCCCTTCAGAATTCCTTAGTCAAGTGAGAGCTCATTGTCTTTTTTGTCACTCAAGTCCTGAGTTAAGTCCTCTGTAACTCTAAATAGGTTTCAGGATTTTGTAAAAAGATGAGTGGCCATTTTATCCAAGCACCTTAATGCATAATTCATAGTGTGCTGAGTTGAAGGCACAATACACAGCCAGTACAGGGAAAATAACGTCCTTTTGATGCCCTTGCACCCAGGGGAGTTTTGTGTTTATCCACACATGGATTAAAATTTATACATCTAATTTTTTCAGAGGTTTGTTGGATTTTTTTTTCAAGTATTTCAGTGGGTTTAAGTTTTGATGGAAAATGACTGTTTGTGCTTTGGATCAGCTGATTTTATTCAATAGGTCTTAAATTACAAATAGTTTTAGAAAGTGATGCATGGTAGACCTAGTTTGTGACTGTGCAAGAAAGGGGCTTCATATATTGAGGTCATGTTTTAGGATATAAGCCTTTTTGTCTGTATCCCACTTGATCTTCTGTTAACTCTGATTTGTGATCACCTATGGAAGCTAGCTGCAAAGCTCAACAAGGAGACAGCTTATGTAGGAGCAGGCTATCGGGTTGAACCCTTCCCTTGTTATAAACAAGTATTTTTCTTGCCTTTTAGACCATTTCTCTACTTCTTTATTTGACAAAAAAGTTATCCAACAAAGAGAGATTTCTGATACTTTGTCCTCTGTCAGTTCTGAGCAACTGGAAGGAAGAGCTGGAGAGGTAAGTTTCAACAGTTGTCCGGCTTACTACATTATTGCTCAGACTTGCAATTGCAAAGTTTGCAAGTTGCAAGATTGCAGAGATTGTTTTCAAATGTGCTCACTCCAACACTTTCTTTTTATCCTTTCAAAGGGATAGAAAGTAAAAAGGGAAGCTGCTACTAAACCAACAAATCAATGCAGACTATGCAGTTAATGCATAGTCTTTACATGCTGTGGTATACATGAATCCATCCATCCTATATTATTGGCTGACTTTCAGTCGAAATGCCTCCACTAGCTCCTTGCTTTTTATTGATTTGTAACCCTCCCCACTCAGCCTCTCTTAGGCAAAATCTGCTGAAGACAGCCAGGAATCTTCATAGTAAAAGGTAAGACCCAAGCTGGAGGCCATGCTCACATATGCACATAAAATACATCACACCTGTGCATGCAGCCCATCCTCACTGGGGTGACAGTGCTGATGTGTATCAGGGTGACAGGCTGCTGTGCCTGAAATATGTACATCTGTGGTCTCTAGCCCACAGACTCCTTTTAAGAGGAAAGGCTAGAAGTTGAAGGTTAGAACAGAAGTCTGTCTGTGTGGCTGTTGGCTGATGCTGTCTCTCAGCATCTGAAGTCCTTCAGGCTGCATTCTGAAGTGAGCTGGCCTGATCTGGATAGATTTTGGGTTGGAATAGTTGGGGGAAAGTGCGTTCTTTCATAGATCAACAGTGCAGCTTTCCAGAAGGAATATTAGGTAAATAACAGTGGTGGGATTAAATGAGGAGGAATTTTATGGTCCCAACAATTGGAGCTGGTTTTATCTGCTTTTTGACTGAGAGAATATATTTTTGATACCCTGACTTTAACCTCTTTGCTGCAGACATTTTTGTCTTTTTTTTAGTATGATTCAGGCCAATTCTTTGGCCTCATCTGGGCCAACTGTATTCATTCACCTGCTTCTTATGAACTTTTTTCAGTTCAGAATAGCAGTTAGGTCATGCGACTGGTTTTCAGTCATCTGCCTTGGACTCTTACATCTAAAGGAATGCTGGTTTATTTAGGACTTGTACAAACCATAGCCAACAGCTGAGGTGCCAGCCTGATGTGAAAATTATGAAGGAGTGAGATTCAAAAGCTGAGAGCCAGGCACATCTCACAGGAGTGTAGGATGTTTGGATAGGAATTCTCATCATCTGTGCAGTGGCTGTGTTTGGTAATGAGGTCCAGGGTCATAAACACATGAGAAGACTTAGACCGGCTCACTGTTTCTGCTCTTTCTCTTAACAACAGATTTGCTCCAGGTCTTTCTTTCATAACATATGTAGGCAGCAAGGAAGAGCGACCCAAACTGCAGGAGAATCTGAAAGGAGACTCACACTTCCATGCACTCCTGACAACATATGAGGTATGTGATGTCTTTGTCACTTGAAAGGGGGGCACAAGTTTTCCTTGCCTTTTTGATTCCTCTGTACCTCCCAGTTCATGCCTTGTCAGCCCACAAGTGTTCTCACTTTTATTCTTCTAGTTCTCTTCCCCCCTCTCCCTGGGTGGAGTGTGAGTGAGAGGGTGTGTGATGTTAAACCATGACATGCTGAAGGTGTCATGTAGCTGTCATTTTTTTTCCTCAGGTAGTAAGTGCCTTCATTCCACTCTGCTCCATTTCACCATAGTTTGCAAGCAGACAGAAAACTGCTCTGTTTCTTAATTGATGTATTTACTTAAATCATAAATCACAGTTCATTTTCTTTCATTGCAGATTTGCCTGAAAGATGCAGCATTTCTAAAGTCGTGAGTCTGGTTTTAATGTCTTCAAATTTAAGTCTGGATATCTGTCAATGATTTCTTACATAGATATTTGGATGTGCAAGATTCTGTGTTGTTTCACAAGAGACAGGGATGTTCTTGGCTTGTGATTAGAACTTTGCCTTTTCCAACTTTCAGTCTTTAATATCAGCTAAAATATATGTGAACTTCCCCCAAGGACAGTTTTCAAGCCAATTAACTCAAAGCAATATGACACATAGTGACTTAGAGCAGTACATTAAATATCAGTCCAGCAGAGGACATCCTCAAGAGCTTCAGGTTATAAAGGTATTAGTTGCAAAATTCACTGAAACTGACCTGCATTATATAACAGTGATAGTGTGCTATCATATCCTGAAGTTTATTACCTCCAGTCACAGCTGTGGAGGGCTTATGAAATGTTATGCCTTCTACAAAGACTGATTATTCTGCTCAGATTCAGCCTGTAGGAGGTACTGTCACAGTCATGCAGAATTCCACAGGCATCTGCATTTGAAATGGGGAGGAATTTTCCTTTTTTCTTAGCAGTAGTGCCAGTGCCTTGCAGTGGTTTCATGACAAATGCTGGGGGCAGCTATACATAATGAATGGCTCAGTATCTTTGTAGAAGCACAAATCCAGTGGCCCCTGCTGGCACAGTTTTGTGTCAGCTAGGCCCACAAGGGGCACCCTCCTGTCTTTCAGCAAAACAGCTGTCCTTGGCACTGCTGGAAGTAGCAGACTGTGCTGCACATCATGGTAGAAACCAGATCTAATGAAAGGTAGCCATGACTGTATTGTCCTTACAGTTTCATATCATGTTCTGCGTTGCTGCATATTATTCCATTGATTTTGAAGTGTACCCCAGGTATGTAGCACCCAAGGAGATCAAGTAGCCAGCCTTAGTATCACAGAAATGTCAGCTCCAGACTAATTTCCTACTTCTAAAGCTAACAAATAACCTCAAAGCCATGTCACTCAAATTTAGGGTTTTGCCCTTTAGTCTTTCTTCTGAAAAAAAAAAAGTGGTTGCTAATCATTTGTACCTTGCTCTGTGTGGGAGCATTTGGAGCACTTTGTAAGGGAGGGTCAGAGTTATCAGATGTCTCCGCACCACTACTCCTTACAAGCAGTGTAACAGCACAAATGAGTTGAGCAAGAGCCATGCTGTAATGAAATAGATGAGGAATCAGGCTGTTCTGCACATGGGCTTCTGCAGTGCTGCACAGTGCAGGGTCCTTTGGCAATTCAGCTCCTGAGCTCATTGAATAAGGTAATGACACTTGATTGTTCTGGCAATGGAGAACCTCTCTGATATGGCAGAGAGGGAAATCAAGGCAAATGAAAAGGCTATTTAGGAAGAATGTAGGTCACTGTGATTTCAAATGTTGTATTCCACTGGGAAGAGAAGTGTGGGGGTGAGAAAAGATGGAGGTTCATGCTTTCCCTCCCCTGGAAATGACTCTGATGTGGAAATTGTTACCCTAGTAATAAGGAGGCACAAACACCGAGGGTTCAGAAGATGTGGAGTTTCAATTAAGCCTAGTGGATCTACTGGATCACCAGTGATTCTGCAGCCTGCTAGAGGACACTCTGCATAGAGCTATATGAACACAGAATAAGTTGAAGCTCCTCTCTTGGGTGATTTGCAAAAGCCTTGGGATCACTCTTACATCACTGCCTCATGATCGTTGCTGGATTTTTGCACAGGTGCTAGGGCTTAGTTTCATGTCTCTTTTTCCAAATCAGAGACCTCCTTGTATGTTCAACAAACTTGTGTTTATGTCATTTTCCTGATAGTAACAGGGGTGGAGAGAGAATCAAGAAATTCAAGTGGATTTTGTTTGTCTTGATTTCAAAAAAAAACTCACCCAGACTTTGGTAAAAACCTCTGTCAGCTCTTCAAAAACACTACCTGTGAATTCCACCCCACTTTTGGTGTTTGCTTGTTGTTCGTGGGGTGGGACCCCACCTCAAGTTGAGCCAAGCAGAGCCAGCACTTACTTCAGTCATTTTGTACTTACAAGAATGAATTGTCAGCCCCTAACTGAAGATGCTGTTTTTCGCTTGTTCAGCTTTAACTGGGCTGCCTTGGTTGTAGATGAAGCTCACAGACTGAAAAATCAAAATTCTCTGCTTTACAAGACACTTTCCGAGGTAAAGTAACTCATCTTTCTTCTAGTGTCTTAAGACTTTTCCCTTTTCAGATTCTCTGTGAATCAACGTGAATCATCACTTGTTTCCATCAGAGCTGGTGAAAGGATTCCCATATTTAGTGGCAGAGAGATAAAGGCCTTGTTGGCTTTGCATGGCAGTGGGCAGTATTTGGAGCTTCCCTCTCATTCTGCTTCATGTTTGGGCTTGCCATGTTGGAGCAGTTTGAAAGACTTGGAAAAGTAAAGCAGCCAGACATGGTGCTGAACCACATCTGTGCTGTTGCAGAAGTAGATGTCTGGCTAACCTAAGCAACAAGAGGCCATTTCCAGCTCTGGCAGGGTGAAGGAGCCCTTGCCTAGCTCATGAAACCTCAAGTCTTGAACTACTGACTTCCACTGTCACATTTAATGGAGCCACCCTTGTTTACAGAAATTCAGAGAATTGCTCCAGCTTCCAAAGCACCTGGCCAGAGCAGCCCAAATGCCTGAGTGAAGACTGCACTTCTTGTCATGGCAGTGAATCATCAGCCTTTGGTGTGTGCTGGGATCAGCAACAGTGTACTACAATACACCTTGGAAAATAGGGGATTTTATTGAATTCCTGAAAGTCTTACATATTCTGAACATATTGTCCATGATGTCTATAATTCAGGAGCTTTGGTTATAATCACAAAAAAATAGATGTGATTCACCTCGTCTCTCCTCCTAACCTATTTTCTATTACCAAACTTGAGAGAAATTTGTATCTTTCCAAAGGTAAACATATTTCTCAAGTCTCTTTATGGGGATTACTGTGAGCAGCATGGACCTGATAATGTTCCTGTGTTTGTCAGAGTTACTCAGCAAACAGAAATTGAACATAGTCTGACGCAGTTTCATTTCACTGTCCTATTCCAACTGCTTTTTCCAGTTATCCCTCCTTATCTAACATCTAGTGTGTGTTATTAGACTGCAGACTGCATGGACCTGAGCATTTTAATGGAGTCAGTTTTGTACTTTGTTCTTATTTTGCTTACACTGAATTCCTTGCACTGGTCAGTTTGGAATTCCTTGCCCAGTCAGTTTGGAGCTGTTTGACTGTCACACCATACCTTGTGTTTGGATGGTTTTGGCAAATCTGCAGCATTCTGCGAGCAGTTCTGTGCTGCCACTCATCTTCTAAGTTAAGCCTAGGAGTGGTGTAGGTGGACTTGTATATTAACTAACTTTTCATTACAGATACTTTTTTCTAGTAACTTTGTATTATTGCTGGTTTTTTTCAGTTCTCAGTAGGCTTCAGCCTGCTACTCACAGGCACTCCAATCCAGAACAGCCTCCAGGAACTGTACTCCTTACTCAGCCTTATTGAACCTGACATCTTTCCCCAGGAAAAAGTGAAGGAGTTTGTTGAGTATTACCAAGTTATTGAAAAGGAGAATGAGCCAGGTCAGTAATAAGCAACATTGTGTTTCAGTCAGAACCAGCTTTTATCTTGACTTGGAAACAACCATGTTGTGTCCTCTTTATTTGCTTTCTTTTAATGGTGATAAGCTTTAAAACAAGGCCACAAAAACTAATGACTACTTTTAAGGCAAGAGCTTTCTTAATGTAGCTCCCAAGTGTTACAGGTATGCAGCTATGTTTGGTTTCTCTGTTTGTAAAATGTGGCTTGAATGGTTTCACCAATAGATGTGAGATTCCTTTTACATTTATTTTGAAAGTGTACTTCGGAAGGTATTGTATAAACTCCTTACCTTTTAACACAGTATTCTCCTCTGGTTTTGTTGGTTTTGGATGGGGTTTTTTTTGTGGTTTTTTGATAGTTTTTTGTTTGTTTGTTTGTTTGTTTTAATTTTTCTCTGCCTCTGCATAGCCAAAGAATTGCACAGTCTTCTGCAGCCATTTCTACTTCGGAGAGTCAAATCTGAGGTGGCTGCAGAGCTGCCAAAGAAGGTGGAAGTGGTTCTGTACCATGGAATGTCAGCTCTGCAGAAGAAGTACTACAAGGCCATTTTGACAAAAGATCTAGGTAACTGGGCATTTTGAAGTCTATTAATTATTTTTAAAAGCAAAACTAATTCCTGTTGTACATGCAAACAAATTCCTATTGCACATGCATGCTCTGTTGTAAACAAGCAGAAGTTACTTTGGTCTGCAGAGTATGTACAGAATAAATATGCCAAATTCGGGTTGCTTAATTTTTGATTTTAGCTTGTGGCAAAATAAGAGACATATGTGTTGATCTATTGCTCAGGTATTGTGAGCTAGGAAGTGTTAGCTTGAGGATCTGCTTTGGGCAGTCTCAAAGTAATTAAAGTAATTAAAGATACTTATCACAAGGTAAGCCTGCTCCTATTTCATGTTTTTGTATTCAAACAAAAGGGTGGTACAAGAAATTTTGGATCTGTGGTTCTCTACAAATTTTCTAATAGTAGCACAGATGCCATAAAGCAAATTTCAACCTACTGGATGCAGATAGGAGTTTTATGGGAAACTGCAGGATTATGTAGATAATGCAACCACTACCATCATGTGGCTTGCGAGTGCTTATTTGTTCTAGGGAAATTAAAACTGGGGAGTTGCAGATGCTTTGTTATTCTAAGGCTTTCTAGCACTTTGCATGAACATCACCTGGAAATCTGAGACTTCCATCTTCTACTCTAGTCAGCATATGTGCATGCATTTTTTTTTTTTTTTTTTGTTCCTCACAAAAATGGAACAAGGAGATCTCATTGCCCAGGAGATCTTAACTGTGCTGTATATTTTTTTTTCTGAAAATGCAAATGAACTGCACCAAATTTCTTTTGCTTATTTTGTTGATTTTACTCAGAAAAATTACAGTGACCTTTTCCAGGGAGTCCAGAATTTCAGTGAGTCTGACAAGGCAAAGTAGTGCTTACCAGGGTCTTATTTCTAAAAGCTTGTCCAAAAAGTGAGGGAAATATTTTTTGACCTTTGAAAACAGATGTATTAGTCTTGAGATGGGAAATACAAATCCAGATGTGATTCACAGAGAGAAATACTTCAGTGCTGAAGCACTTCGGAGCAGTGCTTAGTACCAAGACATTCCCAGTCACAGCCATTAATGGAGCATGTGCTTCCCTGCTCTGTTTTTTTCTCTGCTCTGTGTTCCAGATGCATTTGAAAATGAAACGGGAAGGAAGGTTACACTCCAGAATGTCTTAGTTCAGCTTCGGAAGTGTGTTGCCCACCCATACCTCTTCAATGGTAGGAAAGCACTGTTCTCTTTTGGAACAGAAAAAATCACTTTCTTGATTTATACAGTGGTTTTCTATTATTAGTGTAATGCTTAGAAGAAGCAAGTAATAAACACTCTTGTACTTGAATCAGTAGCAGCTGTGAGTTTGTGACCAGTTCCAACACATGACAGTTCATCAATAATGACAAATAAAGTAGGAGACTGTGTGAAGTCTGAGTTTCTGACTGCAGCTTTCTATTTCTATGTCTTCTGTCATCTAAGCAAAGAAATCACAATGCTTTGTGAACTACTGAGGGTGTCATTTGGAGATAGAGAAGGACCATCACTTCTCAAGCAAGCATTGTGTGGCTCCGCTCAGCAAAAGTGACAGTGCAGACACACTGAGGCTTACCACAGAGTTGTTATTTCTGTGGTATTAACTGTGCTTTTGAAACTCCTTTCTGTTCCAGGTGTTGAGCCAGAACCCTTTGAGATTGGAGACCATATTGTTGAAGCCAGTGGCAAGATGTGTTTGTTGGATAAACTCCTTTCATTCTTGTATGCTGGGTACGTCATGTTGGGATGGGGTTGACATGGGGAGAAAAAGTTACCTGGGAAAGCAAACTACATTATTTAGCCATAGACTGAGCAGTTATTCTTCACCACACAAGCACTGACTTATTTATTCCACGTTACTCACTACCTGAAAGAAGTAAAACAAGCTGTATTGGAGATGGTAGAGGAACCTTGAGGATTACTGCACACTGCTATGTCTGGCCAAAGCATCTTGTATTCAGCTGGGAGCAGGTGTGCTCACAGCATTGCTATTGTTGTTATATTATGGACACAGATTTTCAGGTGCATTTTCACTATCATTTCTCAAAGCACTTGACTAATTCTCTCACATGCTCTCATATTTGCCATATTTGAGAACCTGGGACAATAACTATGTGACTTGGTATTCCGCATACCTGCTTTGATTGTGAGTTTCCTATGCCTCAGTTGAGTTCCTTTGTGCTAGCATATCTGTGTTAGCCTGGGAGGCACAATCCATGGCAAATGGGAAAAAGAAAAACCCAAGGATAAATTGAAACTTCAGAAGTTTTGGGATTGCTGTTCACAACCCCTTGTGTTTTGCTCTGGTGAGTTCAGAACCTGGAATTCAAAGACCAAAGGACAGAGCTTCAACAGCCCTTGTGAAGTTTTAATGTGGCTTCGTTATCTTTATCCTGCTGTGGAGCACCTTGTGAGTGGCTACCTCTCCACTTAATGTGTTTGCTGCAGGACCAGCCCTGTGCAAATTCTGGACTTGAAAATGTCTGTATTCTGCTCTAGGGTGAGGTCTGATTTAAATAGAGCACTGTCTGAGGCCTAGGGCTGGGAGGGAAGAGAGTTGATTTCTTCACACACCTTTGTAGGTAGCGCTTGATCTTTGAAGGTTATTTGCTGGATTAGGAGATGTTCTGCTGTTACAGAGATGCTGATACTACATTTTCCCAGAATTTCAGATATGCATTTTAGTGTGTGATTTGAGAGCAGTCATGTGGTGAAGAAAACCTCATCATAGGCTGAAGCTGGGGTCCTTTTAGACAGGCTCCTCACCAGCCTGTATCCAGCCAGCAGCAGAGCTGTGCCAGAGCCCTGTTACTTCTCTGACTCCACACTGTGGACAGGGCAAATGATGATGGCAGATGAAGCTTAACTGATTGCATTTAGATGTGGAGCTGAAAATGTGTGGTAAGGCAACAGGCTGTGATTCTGGGAGGCCTTGCTTTGTAACAGGGACTGATAATGACTGGTTAAGCCATTGTGACTCCCAGCAGGCTGGGAAATGCTGTCACAGTTTGCTGAGGATCACAGGGTTTTGTGTTCTTCTTGCAGAGGCCACCGTGTGTTGCTCTTTTCTCAGATGACTCAACTCCTTGATATCCTGCAGGACTACATGGACTATAGAGGTATGTTCTGAACACTTTGGTAGGAGAGGGCTTATCCTACTGATCTCTGCCAGATATTGTTCCTGTGATTTTGGTTGATCCACCTGGGATGGGGAAAGAAATGTGATGAAGATTTATTGGTTCTCATAAGATAGGGACCATATTCCTGCAGCAGCTCTGTGAGTTGGAGGGTCTTGAGTTCAGCTCTTTGCTGTTACCAGCTTCCTGAAATGAGCTGGCAGTTAAGTGTTCTTCAAAGTAGCTTAGTCTTTTGTGCCTTGATGAAATGGAGCTAACAAATGGCAGGGTAGCAATGTTTCATTATATGCCTGTGTTCAGTTGTGTACCTGTGTCCTGAAGTAATTGCAGTAAAGGCAGTAGGCTTGCTCTAGATTCACTTTGTCCAGCACAAAACACAAACCAAGCCACAGTTATACCAGGAAATTAATTTTTGATTAAAACAGTTGTTGACAGTGGGGCCCCAACATGTCTGAGGGCAGGTTGGATCAGACCATTTTTGGCAAGGTTAGCAATGTGTTCTTGGGACGTTTTCTTTTGTTTCAATCCACGTGGCTCCATGCCTACTTAGGATTTCCCATGAAAGAAGCTTTTGTTTGGTGTTTATGGTTTTGGACGGCTAATAATGTAGGATACAGCCAAATGTAGTGCCATATTCCATACTGCATGCTCACAGCAAAGCACACTGAAGGCCTGGGAGTTTGGATAAGGAGGATCTGATGGTTCTTGGCCTGCTTTGTAGGGCCAACAGCCAGCACAGCATAGTCTGAAATGGGACTGTGTGCTAATGTTCTTTTACTTGGGCTCTGAATTTTCCTGTTGTGTTTCCAAGCAGTAAATTAAATGCTAAGAAGTCTCTGCTTCAGACTCAGCTAAATTACTCTTTACCAACAGTCAATCTGGAAGTCAGGGTCATTACCTCAGTTTATACAAGGTTTAAGTGGGAAAAAAATGAAGGAATTGAAGGCAATTAAATGAGAACCGAGCCAGGAGGATATGACACAACAAGATTCAGGACAGCAGTGAGACAATTGAGAATGAGTGTAAGAGGGTAAGAGCAAAGGCAAAGTTTCAGAAACATTCGTGCTGTTTGTTTGGAAAGGCTACAGCTACGAGCGGCTGGATGGCTCTGTTAGGGGTGAGGAGAGACACCTTGCCATCAAGAACTTTGGTCAACAGCCCATCTTTATCTTCCTGCTGAGCACCAGAGCAGGTAAGTAAGGAGAGACAAACAAACCATCTTGCTTCTGCACTCTTATTTTATTCCCTCTGGCAAGGTTTCAGGGAATTCTGAATCCTGCAGAGCCTGCTCGTGTGGGGGATTTTTGAGGGAGACAGGACACATCCTGAACTTGGGTCTCTCATCTAGGACATCTGGTTTCTGTGCTTTCCTTTTGGCAGCTGATGCCAAGATCCTTTTCATATTGCAGCCTCTTGAGTTTATTTTATTCCAAGTTCCGTAATGCCTGTTTCTGTGCCAGTTTGAGCTTAAGGAATCTCACTACCATTTTATTTCTGCAAGCATCAGTCTTTAGGCAGGAACAGACTTCCTTTAAGTAAGCTGGTGGAATTGCTTCTCAAGTTTGCTGAACATGGACATGCTCTTTAGCTGGCAGACAGACTGAAACGAGAGTCTTTTACTGTCCCAAGGCTGCAGGGAGCTCCATGGGACTGCCATCTGTGCTGCTTCCTCTCTTTGCTCCCTGGGCAGATCTGTGTCTTCTACAGTTTCAAACCTCCCTGTCTCTCTCTTCAAGCAAGCACAAAGCCAGGCTTCTGCTTGTCTCCAGAGGAAAAATCCACACTGCTTAGTCTCAAACATCAAACTGTAATCAGGTCTTCCTTTGGGCTTCTGGTTAGACTTGTCTTGATGAGCCTGAACCAGAGTGCACAGGGGAGAGCACACAGGGTTAGTGAAGGGAAGACCCCAATGCTGGATGTGTGTCAGGAGTCTGTGTGTCTGTCACCACAGTTCCTGAGCTCTCCCTCCCATGCCAGCCACACTTAGGGTTGTTTTTTACTGCACACTACTATGTCTGGCCAAAGCATCTTGAATTCATCTGGGAGCAGGTGTGCTAACAGTATTGCCATTGTTTTTATATTATGGGCACAGATTTTCAGGTGCATGACTCTCTCCACTTGCAGGGATATTCTGATTACAGGGAAGGTGTCTTGTCATGAGCTGGGGGAAATGTAAGACAGCAGACTGTCCCCTGTTAACTACACAATGTGGTCACAGTAGAGGTATTTTAAAATGTAAAATTAACTGGCTTTTTAAAAATCTTTTTATTTCATGATAGCCCAAGTTCTAACCTCAAAACCTTTAGGTCTCATAAACGCCTGGGCTCTGGTTATTGTATAGTTTGTCTTGGTGTTTTCCACTGTTTCAGTGGTGTATTTACAGCTAGTTCTGTGCTGCAGCCAAGTCATGACTTGGGCAGTCCATTGGGGCTTCAGGGAAGCCCATCCTTGCAGGGGTAATCTGCCTGCCAGCAGAAGAATTATGTCTATGTTCATCAGTCTTGACAATCAGTCCCTTTTGCATTTGTTCACTCACACCCTATGTTTTTTGATTACATTGCATTGTACAGCTTCTTTTTTGGACTGTTGCAGAAACCTGGAAGCTGGAAATGGAAGGCTTACCCATCTGTCTAGATCCTTATGAGACTTAGATTTGGGTTTGAGAGATGGATTGGATTAGATACAGCTGATCAGATCTGACAGAACTTTGCACAGCATAGATTCTCTAGCTTCCCCTTTATTTTCTGTTGGTGATGTATTTTATGACCTTCTTCTTCTGTTTGTAGGTGGAGTTGGCATGAATCTAACAGCAGCAGATACAGTTATTTTTACTGATAGTGATTTTAACCCACAAAATGACTTACAAGCAATAGCAAGAGCTCACCGGATTGGGCAGCACAAGTGAGAAATGTCACTACTTGTGGTTGGTTGCTAACTCTCTTGGCCTCTCAGTATTACTTTCCCTTTCCATAGGCAGTGGAAGGTTAAAGTATGAGGATAGATTGAAGATCAAAGGGGAGCAGAGAGGATTTTGTGTCTTCATTTTCCAACTGCAGCCTCATACAGTCTTGTCCTTGTCATGTATCCAGGGTGGGAACTTTGTAAATTTGGAGTAGGAGATGGAGGGTGGATGTTTGCCTGCACTTTTGCAGTGAGCATTTCTCCTGTGTCAAGCAGAATTGTATCAGCATCACATTTCTGCTGATTATTTTTGCTCATTTTGTTCTTGCCTTCTTTACCTACCAAAGGAGTGGGTGAGGGGATAGTAGATACTTTAGTGCACCTCAAAACAAAGTAAATAATAAGAATTTTCTTGAACTTTTCAAGGCCTGTAAAAATTATCCGTTTGATTGGGCGAGATACAGTTGAAGAAATCATCTACCGAAGAGCTGCCTCGAAGCTCCGGCTGACCAATGCCATTGTTGAAGGGGGGCAGTTTGCTCTGGGAGCACCCAAGCCTCAAGGAACAGCAGAGTTACAGGTAAACCAGAGTTTTATCCTCAATTTGACTCCACTAGCCACCATAGAAATGTCCCAGAATGTTTCTGTGTTTACGTTGGATTTGAACTTCTACAAAGAGTTGTGCATTGACATGACAACTTCTGTCTGTAGGAACCAAAATGACATCCCAGGTCCAGACAGCATCTGATGTTTGAAGACAGTTTTTGCAATTTTGAAGTGCATTCATTATGGAAAAAGGGTGTGTTGTCTTGGAGAAGAGGGGAAGACAGAACCTTTCTTTGTCTTACTTGCTTTTTAGTTATAATCAGTGGAAATTATAAAAAGTGGAAGCTGGGCTCATTGTTTCTCGAACTGATCTGTCTCTGGTGCTTTTCTCTCACAAACAGAGCTGATAAGTCAGGTGATAACCTAGTCAGCTTTTGGGAGTAGTCTGAAACTTGGTCAGCCTTCTTTTGGCCTCTTGGCAAATACAGTGTCTCAGGAGTCAGGGCAGGATTTATAATTCTGACCTGAAAGCTGAGGTTTGTGTTGAGAACTTGGCTTCAAAACATCAAGCAAAGTGACATTTAAGGGAACATATCCTGTAGCAGACCCTATGGAGCTTACACGAGCTCTATAGAAGATTGAGACTTAACAGTAAGTACTGTTGAGTCATGATGAGACAGCAAAATAAGCTCTTGTCTTTTACTCTTCACTTCATAGCTTATTTCTGTAACTTCATAAGTCACTTTTCCCTGACCCTTACCATTAGACAAGTTTACATCCCCCTATACCCTATTAAAAAGGCTGGTTTAGCCCATTCGATAGAAAAAGAGCTGTTGCTGGAACCCTTCACAGACTCCCCAATAAACCATCGCTGTAGAATCACCAGAACCTCTCCTTCTCCTCTCTCTCGTCTGCTTCTGCCTCAGCCAAAAGCGCCCTAGCAAGCCAGCTGAGCTGAGATCCTGAGAAAGCTGATGATCACAAAAAAGCTGACAATCACTGAGCTTTTTAAAAGTAGCCTGCAGCAATGAGCTAAGTAAGTATTCAAGCACTCCGTCTCCCAGAGAGACTAAGTATCCAGACTATCCTGCATCACTCAGTGATAAAGCCAATATTGAAGTTTTATCAATATCCCCTGCATGCAGCTAAACCTCTGAGAGGTTTGGATTTAGTGTATCCTTTCCCCCTCTGCCTGCCCTTCCTGCCCCATTTGTATGTATCTCAGCAATTAAAGTTTCTGTGGGAGAAGTGGAACTGAGCCCATAGGAAATTCCATGCTGTTATTTTCCTCCCCTTGGATTTTGATGGTATTTAGGCTTTTGTTTTGAACTAGTTGAGGGCAAAAGCAAGCCTGGCCTTTCTAGCTATGAAGAAAGCTGCTTGAATGCAGTCAGTACAGTGCTATTTTGTCATTTAGCCCTGAAGAAAAACGACTGTTCAAGTCTAGATGACTTATGACTATGGGAGATATGTTGTTGGGGCTTGTCCTGTCAGGTGCTGGGAGAATGGGGCATATTAAAAAATAAGTATTTTGACAGGCAGACAAGCTTAGGTTCCACCACTCATACATCCTTTGCTTTTAAGCCTGAGAAGCTCGAGACACTGGGATTGACATGGAATTAGAGGATAATAATGCTGAACTTCCCCTTTTCTTTGTTAAAGCTGAGTGAAATCTTGAAATTTGGCCTGGATAAATTGCTCTCCTCTGAGGGAAGTACTGTACAGGATGTGGAACTGGAAAACATCCTTGGAGAGACAAAAGGAGGGCACTGGATAATGGACACTGTGCTGCCACAAAAGGAAGAGAATGAAGAGGAAAATACAGAGAGTAAGTTAAGAATCGAAATAGCTGTGTCACTTGAGTGCTGGTAAAGAAGGCTTCCCAGGCAGGGGTGGCATTTTTCAGGCAATAAGTAGAAAAGCAGAATTGTAATGAAGTTACTTGGATTTTGTTTGTGGCCTATCCACAAATTTCTGAGTCTTTATGGGTATTTTTGTTCTTTTTTTCTGTTCTTATTTGCCTATTTGTAAGATAATGTTAACAATACTTGCTCAGTTTTGGTGGCTGAGAGTTGAATTCCTTTTCATATTTTAATACCTCAGATGGAAATTCCTGAGAAATAGGGAAATATTAATATTGTAGCTACTGCTTTTCCCACAAAGAACCATTAAGATAGATCTACAGTTTTGGAGATGTTATAGTAAGTTAAGGAAAGGCTGTGTAGCAGGTGTTTAATTTTTTATCTCCAAATAAAGGATTATTTGCTATGAAAATCCAAAAGGTGAGATAAGAAACACAGAGTCATGGTGTCTGTAGAACTGAAACAAACCTACTCTGTCTTTAAAACTCTACTTTCCAGCCCAAATGTCACCCAGTTGTGGTTAATTTTTCATTAAGTAGCCCTGTACTACCTGAAAATAAATTCTAAGGATACTTCCCTCTTCCAGTGCCTTCTTTCCCCAAGAAAGACTGAATTTTTGTCTGAATTTTTGTCTATATTTAAGTGCTACAGAGTAGCACTTAAATATAAATTTGCGACTGAAGCTGAAATGTGGCTCTGCAGGACAGTTATTGTCCATCCAGCAGCAGTTGCCAGCAATGAGTAATTATTTGCTGAGAGTTAGCAAAGAGTGGTATTTTCTGGTAGTGACTTAAAAGAGGGGCAGTGGTACCACACTGTGTAATAAGTATAGGGAAAATAACTCACGTGGTGAGCAGCAACCCCGGGCTGCCAGAGTTCTGTGCTTTCATTTCATTTGGGAAGTCAAAAGCAAAAATTTGCTTTCCCTTTTCAAGAGCTGCCTGTAACTACATAGCAGAGCTGAATGAATTCTCTACTGGCAGAGATGGAATGACCAAAGAGAACAGCAATAGAACCACAATTTAAAATAATTAATTAAATGAAATAGAAAGAAAGCTTCCTTGCCAGTCTAAACATGTTAAATTATCTTAAATTAAAAGCTTTTGTCAGAGGAAGCAAATCTTGATTCTCCTGTTTCTACATGATACTGACTCTGGTCCTACCAAAAAGTTGTGAGAGTGAAGATCTTTCTCTGCTGAGGATAGAACAATGTCACAGAAGAGCCAGATTTTTTTTTTTGATCTCACAGTTCATTTTGGGTGTTAGTAGGTTTCAGTTCCTTTTCACACTTTTTAATTATTTTTTAAAGATCACATGTACGTGTATGAAGGCAAAGATTATTCAAAAGAGCCCAGCAAAGAAGACAAAAAAGCATTTGATCAGCTTTTGGATCTTCAGAAAGCACTGATTGAAGAGACCAGTAAGGAAGGGAGAGCTCTCCGGAACAAAGCAAACGTAAGGCAGATGTGACAAGGAACATGATGCTCTTTCATTTGCTCGTGGAAAATGAAACTTGGCAGTTTTCTGTCTTTACCTACAGCTTGCAGAAGGCATGTTAAAAGATTTGGATGTCAGTGTACTAAAGCTGGCTCTGGAATCAGAGCTTGAGCAGTTCTGCTAACAGATCTGAGATGTGCTGTCAAGGGCACAAAACCACATATTATGTGACAATTGAGTTCTGATGATTAAGACTTGTGGACAAGTAAAGAAATGGGAAAGGAATGTAGGTTAAGGAGGGCATCAGGCATGGCTTTAAGATGAGCACTATGTTTCTGTGATACCTCTTTCTTGCTCCAGGCCCTTCTCACAGGCCTTCGGGAACAGTCGGCCAGGAGGAAGCACTTGCTGAGTGAAGAGGAGCTGGAGGCTCGGAGGAAGAAGCGCCAAGAAGCAGCAGCAAAGAGAGCAAGGCTCATGGAGGAAAAGAAGGCAGCAAAAGCAAAGGCAGAGCACAAGAAAAAGTATGGTTTGTATTGCATCTAACACTTGATGTCTGTTGCACTGTACTCTTGGAATGTGTCTGATTGATGGAAGTAATATGCTCAAACTGCATAACATGGGGATGTGAAGGTGGAAAAATGGCTTGAGTCCCTAGCAAGGGTTCTTTCCTCCTGAATACCCAGCCTGACTTGACTTTAATTCATTGAGGATGTCCTGAATAAGAGCCCCATGATTAATGAACGTTTGGGAGAAGCTTTCTGAAGTGCCACAATTGCCTCCTATAAATTGCTCTAACATCTGTGACTCTCTGGGACATCTTAACTTTCTCCTTCTTATTTCCCAGGTGTTCTTCCTTTTCACCACTCCAAGTAGCTCCTTGCCCTTTGCTATGTGCTCACTTTTTCCATGCCAGCAATTGGCTTATCACATTGGCTTGTGGTTCCTAATATTATAAAGAAGAACTTTGGTAACTGTTGTTCTGGCCTAAAATGGGGAGGGAGCAGAGGGAATGCAGATCTAGGTCTCCTGTGTTTCACTGCAATGATTTAAACCAAGCTGTGTGCCCCCACCTTTGATTTCCATTGAACATCCTCTTCTCTTGGTTTCAGGATGGCCTGGTGGGAGGCCAATCATTACACATCTACCTGCCTTCCTTCAGAGGAAAGTGGCTCCGAGGAGGAGTTTGTGGAGGATGAGTTGGGGCAGAATGTGGATTTAGATTACCAAGATGGAGACCAGAACTATATTAAATACGTCATGGGAGATGTAACCCACCCCCAAGCAGGAGAGGAAGATGCCATCATTGTCCATTGCCTAGGTGGGACCTGTGAACAACAAGGAGTACGTTGGGTGGGGTGTCCCTAATGGTTCCATAGTTTCTAATTCTGAAATAATTTGGATTTGAGTCTGACTTAATCTCAAGTGGTGCAGAGGCAATACAGCCTTTATTCCAGCATGTGTAATCCACATAAGTACTAGCAAGTTGTGCAAGGGTCTTTGCCTGCTTGCTCTGGATTTATAGGTAAACCTCTTCAAAGGGGCCTGTAGGGCTTGAAATTTTATATCTGTGGCTAAATGATAACAGTTCCTGAGAGCAAGGCCTTTTGTTTATCCTGTGGAAGCTGTAGGAATCAAACTGAGATGATGAAATTCATCTTCTTTTTCCGGTCAGCAGAGAGAGACAGACACGTCCAGAGGCTTGGTGGTTGTCTCTAAACACTGACAGTACAGAGGCTCTAGGCTAGTCTCCCAAGTTAAGACCCTCTATAAAAGCATTAAAGACATGAAAAGGAGTTCCTCCTGAAGCAGTGTTGGAGCTGCTCTCTGTCCAGGGCTGCAGCAAAACATCAACATCTGCTTTGGCTTATGTTACACTGTGCATGAAAGCTCATGTTTGAAGTGCAAATGCTAGGTAGAAGTGAAAGACTGCAAATGTCAAACACCTGGTGTGGGAAGCCCAAGGCACCAATGTGGGGACATACTACATGCATGCTCTGTGTACCTATATGTATGTATGTGAGGATACTGTCAGGGTATATGCTCAGTGCTATGGTTAGTGCTTGTTTCAGCATTTTCAGTGAACAGTAAGGAATTTTTCTGTAGAGTATTTCAAGGAACTGTGAGAACTTCGTTTTTCTCCAGGGCTGAGGTTTATCCTTTAGGATAGTCCCTTGAATGGTGGTTGTCTTAAGTTTGTATGTAGTTCCCATATCTGGTTTTGATAATCATTCATTGCCTGTGTATAAAGCAGGTGCCTTTCCTGCAGGGGTGGTCTCAACCTCACTTCTGAAAGGAGTCTAACTTGTTATTTCATTCTAGATGACTCCGGCCGCTGGGGAAGGGGTGGTTTATTCACTGCTCTAGAGGCTCGTTCTGATCAGCCAAGGAAAATATATGAGATGGCGGGAAAGATGAAAGGTAAGAGATTAAAATATGACCTGAGGCCAAGACACATGAAAGAGGTAAAACCCCAGTGACACTGCAGGAGTGAAGTGCCTGGATACCTCAATGCTCATGTGTTTTACTCTTTCTCTGGATATGTGCATCCCTAGCTCTGAAAGTAGTACTTCAGCGGCTGCTATGACTTGGCTTGTTTGGAGTGTGAGAACTCTGTGTAGGGGTTGGTCATTCCAATCCATCCTGCAAGTCATAAAAAAGGGGAAAAACTTATACATTATTCACAGAGTGTTTTTCACTAAATAAGACAGAGCACTGCATCTGCTGTCAAAGTGCTTTCAAGAAGGATGAAGGCCACCTCAGGCACCATTCAGCTGAGCCTTTGCTTCCCTCCAAGCACTAATCTTTTCCTGAGCATATATTAACAGTTTTGAGATACCTGCAGCTGGTTAGGAATTAACATCTTGCTATAAGATGGAGCTGTTGATCTTTCTAATTTCCTGCAAGATGCTTTCTTCCCATTTCAGTGTCTCTCTTTCCATTTTTTGTCTTTAATTGGGATGTGTGTGTGATTGTGTGGCTCGGGGGAGAATGTTTGTCTGCTGAAACCATCATGAGGAGATACAGTCTCAGAGAATATTACAGAATGTGACAGTGAAATCACTGCTTCATTGACTGCTTGTTTACTCTTCAGAACTGATTTTTTATTGTTGTCCTGTTCTTTTCTCTGAACAGACCTGGAGTTAGGAGGAACCCTGCTATTTCCTATTGATGATAAAAAATCCAGGAAAAAAGGACAAGATTTGGTGAGAATGAGAAGCTTTTTCCTGTTTTGCTCTATCCATATGTTTTTGAAGCTGTGTGAAATGAACCTTATGTCTTTCTCGCAATAATGGCACTGATTACTGAATATGGCTAAGTTGCAGTTAAATATTAGACATAATGAGTTCTTTTCTTCATTTATTAAAGGTAAAAGTTAGTAATGCAGTTTTCCAGCACTGTCACTGTGTATCTTAGTACTGTATATAGATTGTATTTCAAGTTAGTATGTTTTCTCCTTAGCTGGCCTTGATTGTAGCTCAGCACCGAGATCGGTCCAACAACTTGTCTGGCATTAAGCTGTCAGCTTTGGAAAAGGGCCTGAAGAAGATTTTTTTAGCAGCCAAAAAAAGGAATGGTAAGTGTCTGTGCAGTAGAACAGCAAATCTGTACATGTGTAGTTGCACCTAAAGATGATGACCAATTTCCGCCTTTCTACTGTTTTTTTCTGAAGTGAAGTGAGATCTCCATTGCAGATAGGCTGCTCAGAAATATTTCTTCTGTTCTTTATTGTTTCTGTTCCCTCCTCAGCAACAGTTCATCTTCCACGGATCGGGTATGCAACAAAAAGCTTCAACTGGTACGGCACCGAGCGGCTCATCCGAAAGCACCTGGCAGCTCGGGGTGTGCCCACTCTTATGTATCCTTTTGGAGTGTGTCTCGTTCTGTTCACCACCTAGTACTGAAATGATCCTGTAAATATCTTGGTAAATGCAAAGCAAGGAAGTAAGGCGAGGCACAGATGCCACAGTCCAGCTAAAAAAACTGGTTTCTCTCACTTTGCTGTCAGTATCCAGTATTTCTGACAGCATCCAGGTACTCAAAGACTTAGCATTTTGGGTGATAATGACAGATGAGTGTGATTCAGCATGCCTGTCAGGATTTGTTAGAGCCAGGTGCTAGTCTTCTGTTGACAGCATGGACTTACCTGTATATGCCACATCTGTGGGGGGACATGACTGGAATTTCAGATTAATAGAAGTGACTCAGAAAGCAGCAAAAGTGAGAACATAAAAAAACATTACAATGTTTTTTATATCACCAAACAGGTGATAGCCTGCTTCCTTGGCTGAACGTGATGAAAATTGGTGTGTTAGGACAGGCTTAGGAAGGCTTTCACCTTCCAGGAAAGGAAGCAGGTTTACAAGGAGGCTCTGTTTTGTCACTTCTTTTGGAAGACATGCATTTGCTATACGGACACTGTCAGCAATTCCATGAAACCAAAAACCTGAAACAAAGACAAAAGTATTCAGAGTATTCTGGCTCTCTTCCTTGGTAAATCTGTTAGTGGACACATTGTCTGATACTTGTTGACACTTGACAGCATTTCCTTGACATTCTATTAGATACTACTTCTCTAGGAATAAAGGTTCTTCCTCTGCTTCACAGCCATATTCATCTTCAACAACAGTCTCAAAGCCATGAAGATGGAGTAATTTCACCAAGAACATGGACAAAAAGTGACCATCACTCAGGCAGTCCATGTGCATTCATGTCAGAAACATGGGTTGCACAGCCATTATTCACATCTGTACCTCTCTGCTGTGACTGGCCCCAACATTTGCATGTTGTCAGTGGCTCTGGAGTGGAATGAGACTCTCTCTGGCTTCAGAGTCCAAAGAGGAAGGATCTTGGCTCAATCCCAGACCTCTTTCAGAGATGGAAAATTAAACTTTTAACTGATGGTCCATTGTTATCCCTTACATTAAGTTACTGTTAGGGCTTGGAATACAGTATTGTTTAGCTGTATTTCCCTGCCCCCTCACTCCCTCTCAAATTTCATACCTTATCTCACTATACCTCTTTTCAATCAGCTTTTTAGTGCTTACCTGGCATTCAGTCTACACGTCCACACAGAGCTCAGCAGAAAGGAACCTGTCAACTGTATGATAACCACACAGGATAAATTGTTTATACTCTTCTCATTTCTCAGAAATCCATTTGACTTGCATTTGTTCAAATATAAAATTTAGCTACCTAATCATGTGGTTATAGTCTAGCAAAATGCTGACCAGTATCCTCAGTGAAGGTGTGCAAGGCTGCCAAAATTTGAGACTGGCTATAAATAATACCTTTCCTTCTCCCACAACTCTTATTTCATTACACAGCTTTTTGTGGCAGCTGTAGGGCAAAACCGGTTCCTTACTGCTGTCTAAAAAGCTGTGTGAAAGGTTCCATGGCCCTTTGATTCACTTTTTAGGGTAAAGTTTTTGATGTTGGCTTTGCTGTACTGCAGGAGAACTTTCCTGTTTTTCACACTGTTGACACTATTATTAGTGTCAACAGTGTGAAACATATTTTTAGGGTGGTTTTGTACAATCAGGCAATTAGTAGCTCTCCTAATAAGTGCTGTGACCAGGGAGACGTTGAGGTGCCAAACTTAATTGAATTTGAAGCTCATCTTCCAATAGGAAATCACCTCACAAGCAGTGAAAAGTATGTCCTTAAATATCTCATGGCCAACATACATCTAACTGGCTGCATTTACTCTGCCCCTGTGGCACCATCTGCTTATTTAATAATTCCAGGCCTGCCATGGCTAATCATGCTGACTGGTGTGCTCCACACGAGGAGAAGCCCTCCTGAGCTGGATACTCTGTCCTTCACTCTTGGCTGTACCAAACAAGCCCATGGGATTTGTTACCTCCTTTGACCTTGCTGGAGCTGAGGGCAGCCAGTGCTGCACAGCACCTCTGTGGGTAGGACCTTTCTTGCAGCTGTTCCCACGAACAGCCCCCTCTGCACTTGGCAAAGTGCCTGCAGGATCAGAGTCCAACTGTGAGGGCTTGGAGGGGTGGGAGGTGGTGGGTGGATGTACCTTGTTTTCCCCAGTCTCTCAAACTGGCCCTCTTCCAGCAGGCCGGCTGGTGGCACTATTAATCAGCTGCAGCAGCTCACAGTGCTTCTCCAGCCTGGAAAAAACGCTCCCTCTTTCCCAGAATTAAAACACCAATTATACTTTTTTCGTTGGCAGCTTGACTGAACACATCGTTTCAGTCTGCAAACTCAAGGCTCTGTTCCTCCACCTCTTCTTTTTCTTGCATGTTTATTGCCCTTTGTTAAAAGATTTAGTTCCCAAGTATTCCAGTGTGTGCAGTCTTGTTCTTAGCTTCAAGCTCACCTACGGGTTCTCTGGCCACCAGTTGCACATGAACAGAGGATTTGTCCTGTGGCTGGGTCCCCCACAACAGACTGAAGTAGTTGTCTGCCCCCACTATGGCCAGCCATTCCTTTTTGAGGCCTCATGCCTTCCTTTGTTTCAGCCTGTGTCCTGTGCCTGCCACCCTGCTATGACTGACTAGAGAGAGGAGGGCTGACTGTAAATGTCCCTTACCCCTTAAGGCCTACAGGGAGCTGAGAGGTACCTGTAACACACAGGAAAAGGCATGGTATGTAACAGATTCCAGCCTTCTAACTCAGGGGCAAGTAAATAAATCAGGTTCTTGTCCTCTCTTGTCCTTTTCAGCTGTACAGATGAAATCTACCTTATTTTGTTCCCTTTAAATATACTTAGGAAATGCTTCTGGAGTGTGGGGACTTTGTTGTGGGTTTTTTGCCTTTTTTTTTTTTAACAATGTTCTTTAGTATTCTTTAAATCTGCTGAACCCAAAGAAAAGATCCACCTGTCTGCTTTGAAATGAAAGTGAGATTTCAACTGAATCCTGAATTGGGTTTTGCGGAATCTCAGCAAAGGGAAGCTTTTCTAGGGTTGCTACCCACCACCATTTCTCTTTGTTTGGGCAGAAATCATGTATTTCAGATAATTAATTCCATAAAGGGCTTAGCAGCTTTTATACAAGTTGCTATACAAAATAAATGTGTCATGCTGCTTCTTCAGCTGTGCAGTACTATGCTTTTTCCCTTTCTAAATAGCAACCACTCCAAAAGGGAAGGAAGGAGTTCTTTTGTAGTCATGTCCCTCTGGCCTCTCTCTCTCTCTTCTTCCAAACAAGATTTTTTGCTGTAGAAGAGCTGAAAAGTGGCACCTTGTGCATTTCTGCCATTGCACGATTACTTAAACTTTGGATGCAAGCTGCTGGAGTGAGGTAAGCAGCTGAGAGCATGATCATGCACAGCTCAGATTGGCTGTACAAGCAGTTTCATCAGATAGGACCTCTGAAGTGACATCCACTCTCAGGAAAAAATTTGCACCCTGTGCTGGAGACTCCAGCTGATGCTATATACAAGCAGACTGTAATTCAGAGTGACATTTATACTTGTGCTGGCTCAGCTCACACTTGTGTTTCTTGACAAAGCATTGCCTCTGATTCTCAGGACATTATGCACACAAATTTTCTCTTTAGTGGCCTGTAACTTGAGAATGATCTTTCCCATCTATTCAGGAAGTAGTAAAAGCAATACCAAGCACAGAAATCAATCAGGTTTTATGGACAAATGTAGACACGTGATTTTGTCACTGAATTTTGTCAGAGACAAAAATTATCTGGATATGTCACTGTGTGTTGGGGAAGATGGAGTCTGGATTTTGAGGAAAGAAGAAGACTGGTTTCCAAGGTGATGGAAAAAATCTACACTGAATCCAACCTCAGTATCTTAACAAAAATAGTGTTTGTGTGTATCTCCAAACAGAGCAGAATCTGACCCACAAAAATGATCAATAGAAAAATATAAGGATAAGGAGATTGATTAATTTAAAAATAAGTGAAACCAAGGTCCTGGAGGAAAAAGAAAAGCAAACTTTTGAGCTGAGAGATGACTTTAAAGTGTAACGTACATGTCAAGTTGTGTGAAAACTCCCATCACTTTACAGTATATGATCCTGGAAGAGAGAATGTACACACCTTTATTCAGATGATTTCAGTGAATAGCAGGTTGCTGATGCACTGTGATCAGCAAATCAAAATATAAGACAGAATGATTCAAAACCCTAAAGGATTTGCCATAAGAATGGATAATGTCCCCATTTCAGAAAGTGCCTTATGGTTTTTCTGGTTTTCTGGTTTTCTATCTTCTCTAGAATGCAGATGTCTATATCATTTTGAATTTCCTGCAAGTGTGTGTATTTCATGTTGGACTACACCATCCACCCATCTTGGCCCTGGTCAGATGGTACTGGCCCCTGTCAGATGGTGGGAAGGCATGTAGACCCTTCAAAAATGTGATGAAGACAGGAACTGTCTGGATCCTCACGTTTCAGGCAGGAAGAGAATGTTCCTGCTTGCACTTGTAACATTTTCCTGTGTGTTTCTTCAAAGCTAAGGATAGAAACAACCCCCTCAAGGAGTGTATGAAATGAGAATGCTAATCATGTTGCTGTTGAAAAAGCAAATCAACAGAGAGTTAAGGAAAGAGAGAAGTTGCATTTTGGTTTTGGCAGCTTAAGCAGAAAATAATTATTTGATTAACTTGCTGAAATAAGTGCAGGGCATCTACTATCCTTTCTCTGCTGCTTCCAGTGAATTTGAGGTTGCAGCATTGACATTCACATTATAAAGAATGCCTTTTTTTCCTTAGAAGAGAGACAAATTTGGAGCAAATCAAAGGTATTTATGATCTCATAAAATGATCTCAAGTCTGCTTTGGAAAGGGAAACAGGGATGAATCTGAAATCATCTCCCTTTCTTGTGTGCCACTTCATGAGACAATTTAGGCCTGGCTTCATATGTGTGCCCTAGCTCCTCATCTATCTGTGTGTGCATCTGAGATCATGCCATAAAGCAGGGCCAAACTATACACTTGACCACTTACAAATCCTTCCTAAAATATCTCCTGGCCACTGTTCCAGCAGGAACAGGAAAAGATCAAAGCAGAGGAGAACAGAAGAGTGTAAGTGTTTTGCATTACAAGCACGCTCTGGACCAGAGACCAACTTTGTTTGACATGGACATACTGGAGTCCACTAACATGATTCAGGGATTGGCACATCTGACACACCAGGAGCTGGGATTTTTTAGCTTTGAGAAGAGGTTTCAGAGTGGAGGTGATGTGTGTAAATGTGTATTACTATGTATAAATATCAGTTGGAAGGGAATAAAAAAGTGGAGCCAGACTATTCACTGTGGGACCTCGTGAAAGGAAAGGAGGGAACAGGTGCCAACTGAGATGCATGAAATACATTTAAATGTGAGAAAAACCCAATTTTTACTATTCATGTGTTAAACATTGGAACAGGTTGCCCAGGGAGCTTGTGGACTCTTTGTCTTTGGAGATGTTCAAAATCCTGCCTGGCACAGCCCCAAGCAACCTGCTTTAGTTGACCCTGTTCTGACTGGAAAGACTGGATCTCCAGAGGTCCACTGCAATTGAAACAATTCTCCTGTGATTCTATAAGACCCATTTAGGTACCTTAAAGAAAACCCTAATCAACTCTAAATTTACCTATTCAGTAGTGTACAGGAGCAGAGCACTTCACAAATTTCTGAACTATGACCCTTCTACACAGGTAGCTTGACTCAGACGAAACATTTCCTCATGTCTCAGAGGTTTAAACAGATGATGAGAGATAAACATGTAACAATATCTCAGAATCTGCCCCTGAGCCCATCTTCAGTGTATTCCTCCTTTGCCAGTCTTCTGTGTAACACCTTGACCTAGTTAGGAGTGAGGGGCTTCACTGCTGGGTCCAAGAGGTATCTGCACCAGGTCTGGGCAGGGCATGGGTGCTGATTCTCACTGAGGTTTGTGTACATCCCTAGAAATCTCCTTTCCGTGGGGTACTGCAACAGGTCCTGCTGCTCTAAACCATGAAACAAGCATTGAGAAATCCTCTAAATCTTCTTGAGCAGCTGCTGGGGCAACATGGTAGGAAAAGAAATAGATTTAGCACAGTTTCTTTGTTGCTTTCAAAGATGTCTAGTTAAAGACCTTTGGTAAAGGTCTCTTTCCCTTGCTGATGTTTTCCCCTGAGTTTCCATAGCTTTTCAGGCAGGGCAGTATCTCCCCCACATGGCACAGGTAAAACCTTGCTCCTTGGCTCGAGTCTCTCCCCTGCCCCAGATGGGTGTCCTGCTTAAGCTCGAGCTGTTGTCTTTTGTCACGTTTCACCCACCTCTGAGCAGGGTGAAATGTGACAAAATGAGCAAGCCCATTAGCCGTGGAGAGCCCTCAGCAGGCAGTGAGACTGTGGCAGGCTTTCAGCAGGGTGTCAGATGCTTTTCACAGGGCAGAGACAGTCCCTGGAATGCAGCAGAGTACTCAGGCCTTGGGCAAGTTTAGACACATGTTGATGCATAATACAAGATGGAGCCTATCAGTTGATATCAGACTCTTCCAGTCACAGGGTTGTGTAGGCAGGTATGCCATGCAAAATAGGAGGTAATGTAACTACCAAATCAGAGGGATATGGAAAGGTTTCTTGTCATTCCTGGCTGACTGTTTCATTGTGAAGTCATTCTGTGGGCTATGGGTGTTTGAGTAGGGGGCAAGCACCACAAATAAAACTGTGACATTATTTTGGGAAAACAGAGGGAAGGCAAAGTGGAGGGAAAAAATAAAAGATGCCATCTACAGAAGCCACAATAAGGCAAAACATACATTCTCTAATAAGAATAACTTCAGTTTCTTCTGCATTTGTTCCATTTGTTGCCTGGGTCATACCTGAGCAGTTCAAAGTGTAGGACTGGAATCTAGGAGGTCTAGATTTTCTTCATACATTTCCAGTTGCTAGCTCATTGTATGTCCTGAAAATGTAAATATTTTTAAAGGTAAAAAAACCCAAAGGTAAAATGAAATAGGAGCAAAATTTACATGTAGAAAAAATTACTTGTGCTAACACAGGACTCTCCGGTTTCCTTCCCACCTGCCCGGAGCAAGTGGTGCCAGGAATTTGGTGCCCTAGGCAGGCTTCAGGCAAAGCAGGCCCTTCTCCCTGGGAGGCAGGAGGTCCTTCCTCATGGCAGTCCTCTTGTGACCAGGGGCAAAGGGCGCTGCAGCTGCAGGCTTTGGGTGGAGGAACAGACCAAGCCATCCCCAAAGCGAGGCATTAGAGTGCCTGGGAATACACTTAGCCTTAGAGGAAACCCAAGGACACCGTAGTCTGGGATGGGATAGCTCCAAGGGACCGATCTTTCTCTTGGAGGAGAAGGTGACAGCATAGGACAGGCGAGGAGCTTGGCAGTGTGGAGGAGAGCTGCAGAGCCTGGGAAAAGCTGCGGGGCTCATGGGCTGGGCACGGGGAGCAAGGAGGGCGGCGATGGGGAAAGCAGCGGCAGGAGATGTGAAGGAGCGTGTGTACGCCCGAGGTGCGGAGGAGGCTGAACTACGGGGAGAGGTTCAAGCGTCAAATCGGGCCTCGGGGGCTGAGCAGCGGGTCCGGCCGCACAGCCCCACTCGGTGCGGCTGCAACAGGGCCCGGCTCCGCGCGATTTGGGTGCCGAAGTCTCAGGTACCGTGAGGGCGGCCGCTGCCAGGGCAGGCGAGCCTCGCCCGGGGGCGGTGGCTCCGGCGGGGGAGGGACGGGCTGCGGGGCGGTGCCGGGCACAGGAAGCGGAAAGCGGCAGCAGCGACGGCGGCCGCCGCCGGGGAAGGTGGCGGGGAGCGGCGCGGCGGCGGAGGGTTGGGTCGGTGCCGGCAGCAGCATGGGACGGCCGCGGCAGGGAGGTGAGTCCGTTCATCCGCCCGTCTGTCTGTGAGGGGCCGGCCGCGGTGCGGGGGGGCGATGCCGCTGCCCCCCACCACGCCCTCCCGCCGCCGGGACCCCGGTGCTGGGGCGGCGGGAGCGGCGGTGTGGCAGCCTCCGGCTCCCGCGCCTGGCCGCAGGCTCCGTGCCCGGCCGGGCGGTGCTGCTGAGGGCCCCGGCGGTGCCCGCTGCGGGGCCAGCCCGCCGCGTCCCGTTGCCCTGCCCGGCGCTTTCCGCGCTGCGCGCTGGTTCCCGTGCCTGGGCGGTGGTGGAAGGCGGCCGGGGGCCTCCCTCCTGCCGGCCGGGGTTCAGCCTGCCCGCCGTGAGGCTGCGGGGGCGGCAGGTCCGCGGTCTCGGCATCCCGGGAGAAGGCGCTCGGTGCCGGCGAGGGCCGTGGGCGCAGGAGCGCTCTGGCTGCCGAGCCTCGCCCTGCAAGGAGCCCGTGCGCTGCTGGTACGAGAGGCTCCGCGCTGGTGTGAATGCTCTGCCGGTGGTGCCTTGCCTGCCCACGGCGTGTGAAACAAACTGCTCTGTGTTTGGGCTCATCCCGCTGGGCAGCACGGGAGGGGGAGCAGGAGTGACGGGAAGGAGAGCTGCTGCGAAATCACATAGGGGGTTTGGTTTTTTATTCAGAAGGTTGTCAAGGTGGTGAACTGATTCTCTTATGCCGAGGGTTGAACTCTTTGAATTGCAGAGCCGGTGAAAGCATAAGTGACTTGATGGCAGGGTTTTCGATCTGAGGAGGCAGCTGGGCGATTCTGTGGCTGTTTGAGCAGTGGGATTTTTTTGACCCTGAGTTTGTCAGTAATGAACTGCCCACTAGATCTATAAAGAGTTAAGAAATGGAGTCACGCTGGCTGGAAGTGCAAATTAGGATGTTATGAAGTATGTTCTCTGACACCATTGCCTGTGAGCCTGACTTCAAGGAGGAGAGTTGTGGAGAAGGGAGCTTCAGCAGTGCTTTGCCACCTTTGAAAAGCTTCGTTTTGACCATGCTTGGCTCTTTTCCCCCACTGGGGTTTGGCTATTTAGCTGGCCACAGCTACGAGGCCAGTGTTGGCTCAGTGATCACTACAGTTGTTAATTTTGAAAAATAAATGTGAATGGAGTCTTGTAGAAAACCTCCTTTAAAAATGTTCCCTATAGCTGAAATTTTGGAATAATCCCAGGCTGTACTGGAACCAGCCAGGCAAATATCTAACTGTTCCCAGCCACTGACCAGTAGCTCCCAGTAGTTGCTTCTGGCCTTTTGCTTTTGGTTAGCAGTGGCAGTTGTTCCTGGTGGCTGTTGTCTTATGGATATGTGCACCTGGAGAGGGCTTCCTGTCATTGTGAGACTGGGATACAGTACTAGGACAACACTACCAAATGATTGCAGTTGTACTAGCAGAACTGTGTGTTGTGTTGTTGTAGCCTGCCTTCCTTACACCCCCACCTCTTGCAACCAAAGCAAAGGATGGTGTCAGAAATGTGACTTTGCTGCTGCAGGGCTTGTGCTGCTTTGTGGGGAGCTGAGAGGCAGACCTGAGTGGAGAGCTGTGATGTCCAGTTCTGCTGGTGGGAAATAGTGAGCTCCTGTTTCTCGATGTCTGGTACTGTTGCTTGGAAGAAGAAAATGAACCCGTGTAAAAACAATCTTAGTACTTCTTTTAATTCCTCATTAGCCTGTATGTCAGAATTTTCTGACTTGGGTCAAATTAAAAAACAATGGTTATTTCCTCTGGGGTCAACACCTTTGCCCTCTCTCCTTGCAAGGGCAGAATGGCATTGGACTTCTACAGATTTGAGCATGAGGGAGATGTAGAGAGACTCCATTCTGTGGAGTCCCAGAATGTGCTGTGTCCTGGGGATTTTCTCAGGGTCTCTAGACTTCTTTTTTGTTCTAAATTTAAATAGAAAATTCTGGCAGATATGAAGTGTCTTAAAGGAGGGAGTGTTCTTTCAGTAGATAAACCTTTTGCAGTTCATACCTTTTAATGCTAACTCAGTATCTGAGTGCTATGGCTAAAAGCAAGTACTGAAAATGAGGTACAGGTACTGCCTGTTGGGATAGGCAGAGTCAGTGGTGTCTTGTAGAGACTCTTTTCCCCGTTTGTTTTATTTTAAATGTCAATGTGGAAAACTGCATTCCTGTGCACAGTCCCAGGTGCCCTGGTGTCCTGAGGTTGAGGCCACACTACCTTGTGCCCTGCTGCATGGCTCTGGGGTTAAGAGGAGCACTGGAAGATCTGGCAGCATGGAACAGACCCATGAATGAGGAAGCACAAGCTTTCACCAGTCTCACAGGATGGCACTGAGGTGTAGTTTGCATGATTGAGTCTCAAATGCTCATTGTGCTTCAGAAACCTGGTCAGCACAGATGTGGCTCTTGGAGTGGGCAAAGGACATCCTCCAGGGAAGTGCTTCACAGATGGGCCCCATGTAGAGAGCTTCCAGCTGTGTAATGGGGGGACAAGAGGCTGGGGGTCACTGCTTGGAAACTCCACTCACTTGAGTGGTGGTTTTGCCTGGGTATTTCTCTTGTCAGTTGCTGTGTTTTCAGACCTGTGTGCTGCATGTTCTGATTAAACAGTGGTATTGCTTCAGTGAACCAAGTGGCTTTTCCTTGTGAAATACCCATGTCATGGACTAATGATTTTCAGCTTTGGGGGTGGAAATTCCAGGGGATCTGTGAAATCTTTCTGAGGAGCCTCTGAGAAGCAAAAGAAAAGAGAACCTATTGCTAAAGGGCTTGAATTTGCTGACTACTAAATGGGGTTTTTTAGAATGAGGGGCTTGCAAATCAAGAGCCTCCACCACAGAGTAAAAGCCATGGTTTAGTTTCATATATATATATATATATATATATATATATATATATATATATATATATAGCCAAAATTGACCTTATTTAATGACACGTAAAAATAAATACAAATATTTTAGAAAAACCTTGTTTCCCAAAGCTCATTGCCTGTTAAAACTGGAAGTCTTGGCTCTGCAAGTAGATGAGCATGGATGAACTTATGTGCTTCCGGATCAAGTTGCTGGACTGGGGCCTGCTCAGGAAATTCAAAAGCAAGAGGTTCCTGTGGCATTGCTCATAGGTCTTACTATGTCTGCAGTTGAAGTTACGCAACTTCTCGTTTTCCTGAAGTGAATAATGGGAATGTGCTGCAGCAGTACTGTGCAGCCAGGCCAATGCCGGATTTGGAAAAGCTTCCTCACTGCTTAGCCCTCTTAATTGTTTTTACTTTTGAACCCTCAGCGCTTGAGGTTCGGTGTGTTTGATTTGCAAAGCTCTTCATTTCACTAAATGAAGGGAAAAGAAGATTTCTCAGTGCAATAGCTTGTGGGCATCCATTACCCTGTAGACAGCTGGTGCTGTTTAACAAGTGAGGCTGACGGTGTTTGGAGCTGAATTCTGTGCACATCCTCACGGACACTTGTGGCTGCTTTGCGCTCCAGATGGCACTTCCAAATACACACAACTTCATGAACTGACTGGTAAACCAACTCTAATTGATTGCAAGTTTTAAACAGAGCAAGATTCAAACTGTGCAAAGATTTCAAAGATGAGCTGCTCTGGAGTTATTTGCCTCAACTTCACAGGGGAAAATCCATTGGGAAGGCATGGGATGTAAAGGGAGCTGTTGTTTGCGTTTGCCCTCTTTGATTTAAAGATGCAACTTGCTCTTTTAAATTTCTCTTGGGCTGGGAGCCAAACTGCTCTCCCTTGAAGACGATCACAAAGCAAGCTTCATTGGAAATAGGATTGGGCTTCCAGTGTGGAAAATAGCAATTCAAAAGAACTCTTTTTGAGATTTATGAGCATATGAAAAGAGGGAGTTACAATGAGTTGTGTAGCTGCGTAGAAACTGTAATTACAGTGATCTCTGCGGTATTCAGGGGTAGCTACATTTCTTCACTGTCATGCAGGGTGCGGCAGTCCTTGCCAGCACAGGGTCCCAAAATTTATTTCGGGGTGCCCTTACCATTGTTTTCCATCTAGTACTTGGCTTCTTTCTGTCATCAGTGAATAGGGGAAAGGCAAAGTGAGAGTGCTGGCCCTACTGGGAGCAAAGTTCTGGGTGTACAGTTTATACAACTGTCGTGGTGGAGCAGAGCACGCATTCCCATCTCCCCTCTAGCTGTTCCCTTGTGCTGCTATTCACCCTGATGCTGGTTTTGATGTTTGGAGCTGTGCTGTGAACTAGGTCACGGAAAGGATCCAAGACAAAAGCGTGGCAGGGGGGCGAAAAGGGATTTTTTGTTTTGTTTTCCATCAGTGCTGTTTGCTTGCTGAGAATTGTGTTGACACAACCGAGAGTGGTGAACCGTGGTGCGGAGGTGGAAGCGACTACACCAGCCTTCTTGTCAACGCTGAAATACAGTGCAACTGTACCCTCAGGCCAGCAGAGCTTTGTTTCATGCAGGGCCAGAAGCTCTGCAAACAGACCATGCCTTCAGCAGAGTCCTGCAAGATGTAATGATCATTCGTGAAGCCATTTCAATTGGCTATGTTGTATTCTGAATTCAGGCTCCTTTGTGAAGGGATGAGGCCCCACATGATGGGGCTGCTGCTTTAAGCAGAACACTTGTTCTTACCCAGAGGGGTAGGGTAGGAATCATCATTAGCAGTGATTTAGTAGTGGAGGTGTGCGAAGACTGTGCTCAGTTTGGATATGGTTGAGTTATGAAGGACATGAGGACAGCTTGTCTTCTCTATGTCTCCTCAGGCTCCAGTAGTGGCCACTCTTGGGTTGATGGCTAATCCAGTGTTGACTTCTGTCTATGCCATTGGAAGAGCTCCAACCCAGAGGTGTAGTTTAGCTTGTTAATTGTATTTTGGTCCCTTCCTTACCTCCTTCACAGTAGTTTCAGAAGCTTTTGTGGTGTAAGGCTGCCCTGCCTTCCTGCTGTGAAATAGAGCAGGAGGTGGGTAACTGCATTGGCATGGCTATGGGGAGTGTGTGTTTAGACTGTGCTCCTCCCTTCTTGACTGGGAGTGGTGTCTGTCTAGCAATCCAGCCTAGCCTCTGTTGGACAAATCTAGGAAGCCTTCTTGACAATCATTCTCAGTTGGGCACCAGGCAAAGCCAGTGGTCTTCTGCTTTTTGCAGCTGAGGTTGGGCAGATGTATTTTGTTCTTGGCTGGCCTGTGAGTGCCTTGACAGGAAGATTATTTAGCCACTGGTGTACCCTGCAGTTGGGGCAAAGAGGAGGTGCAGAGTCCCTGAGTTCATCCTAGAATCCTTTAGGTTGGGAAATACTTCTGAGATTACTGCTTTTGACGGTGATCCAGGAGACTTGATGGTTTTTGGGGGCCGCCTTGTTGACTTTTCACAGAGCTGTGTCAAAACCGTTGCTCTTGCTTACACAGAAAGGGAAAGTTGGCATGATCCAGCCTGCCCTGATGTTCCTGTGTTGGTCTTTTCTGCCTGGTGCCCAAGCACTGCCTTACTTCACTCACCATCAGATGGGCACTGCTTGTTCATGGTACCTGCCCAGGCAGCCTGTGCATTTCCACAGCAGCCTCTGCCTGCAGAAATGTTCCTAGAGGCCTCCAGAAAAGTATGGTCCTGTGCCGATGGGGTGAGAGGGGTCAAAAGAGGAGCTCTATTCCCAGTCCCTGCCTCAGCTCTGGTTCTTATACCTGGGATATGGGGGAAAATTCTTTTATGTGGTTAGAGGAAAAGGGTGAGAGTTTTTACTTTCCTAGAGGGCTAGAAAAATACATAAGTTTTACTGATATATGCCAGCAGCTCCCCTGCTTTTCCTTTTCCTTTTCCTATAATGCAGTGATATGTATCTGTAAAGGTAATGGCTGTTCTCAAAGGGACTCCAGTAACATCACAAACAGTGGTTTAAGACTACAATAACTTGTCACCTTTTGTTCAACTGAGGGTGTTTCTGGTCTGTGGTGCCTAATGACTGTAAAGTCCTGTGTAGCCATCTCCTCATCATGCTTTTTGAATGCAGGGGGGTCGTGGCCTCATCTCCATTTATCAGAGGAAGACAGAGAGAGAGAAAGAATTTTTCTGTGTTGCCTAGCAGGACAGTAGAGGTAAAAATCAGCTTTAATGAGCCTATTGCTGGAGCAGTAAGGTACAGGCTGTGTGCAAATCCAGGGAGTTAACGAGTGTTAACATCACATCCTAGGCTGGGGGATTTTTATTCTTGTTATAGTAATGATGCCATTTTCCAAACTGTGCTGTGCCTTGGCTTTGTTTAACTGTATTTAAATCCATCCTCATTCCTTTCCTCCTGAAACTGGGCCTTATGGTCCCATCCTTATTTGTCCTTTTTGTATTCTCTGAGTTACAATGTGCTCTTAGAGCTTGGGAATCCTGTACACAGAAGTCCCCATGCCTTTCTGCTTTCCAGGAGCCCTGGAAAGCCAGTGTTGTGCCAATACCTGCTGCTCTGGATGCAATGGGGGTGCTGCTTTACTTTGTTGCACCTCCAGCCAAGGAACCCTGTGGGGAAGAGGCTTGGTTCTTTGGCAGTGCTTGCATGTGGCAGAGCTCTCTCCTCTGCTGCGAGCCTCTGTGGAGGTGTTAGTGGAGGAATCTTATGGCTCGCAAGAATAGTTAGCCAAACCAGGATTTCTGTTGTTGTCCCTGTGTCTTTGGGGAAGGAGAGAGATGAAAGCAGTGGTTGCCTTTTTTTATTGCTAACACCTTCAAAAACTGCTATGAGCAGAAAATTACAGAGGAGTCTAATTTAAAGTGCTCTTTTGCCCACTCTGAAAGCATGGCATGGCTTTAGTGCTCTGTTGGTTGGAGGCAGCAGTTGCTTGGGCAGAAGGCATGTGAGAGGGCTCCTGTGTGCCACAGGAGTGCTGGGCTGTGCCAAGGTACCTCTGTCCATAGCTGCAACCCTTCCCTCTTCCCTAATTGCATGTGTTCCCCCAAACCGGTGATCAACTCCTTAATGCCCCTCCTTTCCATGTCTCTTCTCACCTACCACAGGATGTGGATTTGGAAAGTGGGATGATATCTATCTACCCTTCCTTCCCACAGGGCTCGGGGGTTTTGACATGTTACTGTTGAAAATTGTTCTAATGTTGCCCTGCTCCTGCTCCAAAAAGCATGACCCTCTTCTGCCCTTTACAGATGTGACTTCAGCTGCTTTTCCAAGTGGAAGTACATTGTAGGAAGTGTTGGCCCATATAAGCTAGATGTGATCTCTAATCGACTCTCCCCAGTGTTATTAGTATGTGTATATTTAGAGATGATTTTTAATAAAATTGAATTCTTCAAGGCCCGAATTAGCTTCTGGAGACAAAGGTTACAGAGAGGGAGGTGTTCACAGTGCCATTGACTGTACAGTAACTAATGCCTGTATAATGGGTACACCTTGCAGTTAAGAAAACGAAGCAGGTTCAGACATGGTGGGCTGATTCTCTCCAGAATTTCTCCTAGAGAAGTTGCCCTCACCCCCACCCCTTCCCCCTGTAAATAGGCTGCAATGCTACTGTTCTGAAAGGGGGGGTTATTTGGGCTGTGTGTCACGCAGGACAAGAAATGTGGTGTCGAAGCCAAGCCTGGCCATTTTTCTGTGGGTGAATTTTGGTTTCTAAGGCTGCTGTGCCTTCTCCGAGTCACTGTCCCTACCAGGTGACCTAGACTGTCTCTTCCAGCTTTTTAGATGAATGAGCTAAACTCTGCAAAACAGATGCACTGAATTAATTTAAAGCTCTTCAAATGCATATATTTCACTAGATCAGAAAGAGAGGCTGAGCAGGACAGGCTTGAGGAGTGTGATATGTGGCCAGAGTGAGGGAATTCCTGCAGCAGGGATGATGTCTTGCTTTGCTTAGAGTGCACTTCCATGCCTGTTTCTCGTTTCTTAGGTCAATCGTGAGAAGCCAAGCACCCTCCCTCCCCTCCCCTCTGATCAGATTCCTTTTAAGTGAAGCTCACTCAGTCTCTGAGGACCAGATCTCACCGATGACTGGGAAGCAAAGAGTACCCAGGAAAGCACTTTTACCACGGACTCCACCTCAGGAGCACCAGGAATTCATCTTTTAAATAAAATCTGTGCCCCTTCCGTGCACACCCGATGTCTGCTGCAATGGATACAGAATCAACATATTCGGGATACTCCCACTACTCAGGTCACTCCAAAAAAGCTCACAGACAAGGGTAAGGAAATGTTTGTTTTTAATTACTTACTGCTCTAAGTTAGGATATATCCTATGGGAAAAAAAACCTGTAAGCCAGGATAAAATCGGTGGACCTAGATGTCTGGAGAAGATAGATGTGGAAAGTCCTCGTGGGGAACACAGTGAAGAGACTTGAAGCTGCTAATTCATTGATATTCAACCTGTTGGATGCATGCTGGGGTTATGTGTGGCCAAAAAGATAGGGATAGTGCCAGCAGAAAGAAAAGATTACCTAACTCCCCTCTTAAAGGATGAGGGATGAGTACAGCATCTAGGGAGAAGACATGTTAGACTTCCTAAATTGATAATTGCTACTTGTCCTCTGATACCATTTCTTTATTCTCTAATAATAAGGCTTCCTGCCTCTCTCCCCCCTCCTCCAGCCTACTCTGTTAATGGTGTGTTGAGGTTTTTTTAAATAGAATTTGAGTGGTACTTGAGTCGGCAACAAGTCCTTTATCAGCGTTGATTGGATTAGAAGTCAGGCTTTTCTGAACTTGAATAGCAAGTCCTTTCTGTTGTGGTAGTTCAACAGCCTGAAAACCCATCTGCTCTGAAACTTTTGGAAACGTTTTATTTTCTTTTTTTTCCTACACGATACTTAATTTTACATCTAAAATATGTGCCACTTACTGTTTGCAACTTATTACTGAGCTGGTCCAAAATAATTTTGCAATTTGAAAGCAATTACCCTGTGTGGTTGGAAAAAGAATTCTTCCATGAAGTCTCTTTGCTCACAGCCCAGTTATCGAGTAGAACATGTCTTGTTTGCCTTTTTTCCCTTCTTTAGCATCCAACCCCCAATACAGATTGCCCTTTTAAACTTAGAATGCTATGTGGAAAGATGCCTTCAGAGTTCCAAAAACAACATAAAAATCCTAGAGCCCATAAACTGGAAAAAGTGTCATCCCCTGAAACCTTTGGGCTTTGGTAATTCCAAGAGAGAGGCAGAGCTGGGATACTCATGAGTGTTAAGCCAGTCCCTGAGCACAGTGAGGATTTCCAGTGTAAAGGCTGCTTTCCTGTCTGTGTGGGAACGGGGAGGAAAGCATTGGTGAGCAGATTGATGGGGCTTAATTCATCTTGAGACTTCCTCAGATGAGAAGCTGTGAGGTCTGCAAGGGTGCTCTGGAAATAAAGACTGGCCTTATACCCTTGATGTTCTTGCTTTCTTTGTGAGAGGTTAACTTGAGGTTATTAACCAGTGGAAATAAACTTCACCAATTGTCCTACAGTGTTAAGGTCAGAGATGACAAGACTCTGCTTTGCAGGAACTAAAGCTGTATTGATTAATTCCTTGTGTTAAATGGGCATGTCCCTGCAAGACACTTTCTTGTAGGTGGAGAATTGTGTAGACCAGTAAATTCCAAATGGAATTGCCAGTTGTTTGGAGCATGCAGGCTTTCTTTTTAAGCAGAGCACTGATGGAAGGTGTTTTAAGAGAAGGTGAGGTGGTGGGCATGGATCCCTGTCCTCCCCTCTGCTGTCACTGAGGTGGTGGTCTGTCCCAGCCTCCAGGCCTGTCAGCTTCTCCAGGCAAGGTCCCTTTCTACCTCCTCCAGAGCTTGTTTTGTAGCAGCCTGAGTCTATGTTGATCAACAGAAGGACAAACTTGTCCGATCTAGTGCTTGGGGCACCTGTTGCAGGTAGAGGTGCAGCACCTTTCAGGCCCTACTCCATGGAGTAACTGGTAACATTGTTCTCCTCCTCCTCTGTTTGAAAAAGGAGCCGGGACAGACACAAATCTCCCCGAAGCAAAGACGGCAGTCGGTCGGAGAAGTCAGTCACTATCCAGACGCCTCCTGCAGAGCCGCTGCTCGGGAATGACGCCTCCCGGGCAGAGGAGGGCCAGGTAAGGAGGGCTGGGAACAAACCTGCAGGGTGTGTTGTGGGATTGTGGGACAGAGCAAGGGGCTCTCTGGCTCATGAGAAGAAAGAATTGCTTGCATGCTGTTTAGTAAAGAATTGTGGCTTATGGGTGCCCTTTGCCCATGCATTCAGCCAAGATCTCAGTCACTCTGTCTTGTTCTGAGGGTGCTGTTTCTGACAGCACCAGTGCTGATGTGACAACTCCTTGGGCGCTACTTTGACTCTCTCTCCAGAATATCATCTGTCAAGCTCTATATAAACTTCTGTTTCCATCGTTTCACTGTGCATTATTCAGGTCAGCCCTTTCAGCTATATATGTATTTCAGTTTTTATCCAGGATTTGCTCCAGGTAATCTTGTAAAGTGCATTAGAACCAGGATTCCAATAGGGAAGGGAATCAAGAGATGTGAAACTAGTGTGAAATAGCTGTGAAGGAGGGGTGGACTCAGAAAAGCCAGTACATTAACAATGGGTTTGGTAAAAACTAGACTAATGCTGCATTTGGACTGTACCTAGGATGGATCCAGTGCTCTGCTCTAGCAGGTGATGTAAAGGTGCATATTCATTTTCAAAGAATGCCTGGTGCTGCAAGGCCTAGAATGCAGGATGCCTCAGTACCTCCTGGGCTGGATTTGGGGTTTGTTAATCCTTGGCTGTGGGGTTCCACTTCTGTCTTTACCAAAAAAAAAAAAAAGAAATCAGTGTGCAGTTTCCAGCCAAACTGTGTAACAGTATTCATGTACCTAGGGGTGTGATCATTTCGTGTCCTGTAATTTGGTGTTTTGTAATCAGTTGCTTCTTTTCATGAGTCCCAGCTGTTACTTCAAATAGTTCTAAAGGCGCTGGTGAATTCCTAAGTCCTTGTTTTCATGCAGCCCTCCTCAATTAAAGCCAAAGCTAAATAAGTTGATGTGTGAGCCAGACTTTTCTCCTAGGGGGGAGAGTGTTCTCAGTTAGGTCCAACAACTGTGTACCACTAGAGATTTAACCTCATATTTCCTCTCCTGTGAGGAGAGGCTGAGACAGGTGGGGTTGTTCAGCCTGGAGAAGAGAAGGCTCAGAGGTGACCTTATTTTGTAGCCTTTCAGTATCTGAAAGGAGCCCACAAGAGAGCCAGAGAGGGACTTTTTACAAGGGCATGCAGTGATAGGACAAGGGGGAATGGCTTTAAACTGAAAGGGGGTAGGTGTAGATTGGATATTAGGAAGAAATTATTTGCTATGAGGGTGGGGAGGCACTGGAACAGATTGCACAGAGAGGTTGTGGCTGCCCCATCCCTGGAAATGTTCCAAGGCTGGGTTAGATGGGGCTTTGAGCAACCTGGTCTAGTGGAAGATGACCCTGCCCATGGCGGGAGGGTTGGAACCTAGTGATCTTTAAAATCCCTTTCAACCCAAAGCATTCTCTGAGTCTCTGGTTCCATATAAATGTGCATTTTTTTGCATTAGGCTGTAGTTCACTTTTTCAAGTGGCAGGAGTTGTAAGGGCTAAACTGTGACTAGGGTTGCCTGTTGTCTTCTGAGATGTAGCCTTAAGCTGCCCTGGTGTTCCTGTCCCTTCTCTTTTGTGCACAGTTTTGCAGCTCATCAAATGGAGGAAACTATGCAGAACTACTTAATGCATAAACATAAAATAGTTGAAATGCTTGAATTGCAGAGGTGCTGTTAAAGAGTACAATGTGGCAGGAATATGCTGCTTTTCAGGACATGCTACAATGCAGATCTCTTCCGGGGCCTCTGCTTTGGTGAGAAGTGACTCAAAAACTCCTCATATTAATTCAAGATGCTGACTATTTGTGGTTGGTCTGTCTCAAAACCCTACTGCTCTAGGCATGGGAGGTATTCATGTCTTGGAGTGCTTTAGAAGTTAAATCCATGGAGCTGGGAGTTGTTCCAAGTAGTTGTGCTGCTTCAGTCTAGTCCTTTACCAAAGACTCTTTCCTCTAGCACTTTAAAAGAAGTGAATAAAGGTTTAAAATTATGCCTGTCTTTTTCAAATAAGTTGTTTTGGTCAGCATGTGCAGTTGGAGAAGTCTGAGGGAAGTTTTAAATCCTATTAATGACACAGGGCTGCAGGAAGATCTTCTTAGGAAGAAAAGCAAAAATGTGGTTCTGAATGAGCATTGTGGCTACAAAGGTGCCAGGTGCCAAGCAGCAGAGCCACATGCATTGCCACTCTTTGGCATGCATTTGTGGGAAGCATCAGGAGCCTCCATGTGCATGAGTCACTCCAGCAGCAGCTGTGAGTCAAATCCATACATGTCAGTGTAGCTCTTTGGCTGTGCCAGCAGCCAGAAGGAGCAATTGGAGGCATTGTAGCATGGGAAAACCAATGCAGACATTGTCTGATGTTAGCTAGGGAAGAAATGAGACTTTCAGAGCACGTAATGTAATCTGAAACTTGCCGGCATGGTGACTGTATTTCAGGTAAGCCTCTTTGTGAATAAATGGCTTCTGACAATGGCCTGGATTGTAATACCAGAGCTACTTGGCAGTCCAGGATCCTCTAAACTTAGAAGCCCCATACCTGAAAATATCCTCTGTGATCACCTGTAATGTGTTGGTTTAACTAAACTTCTATTAGATTGTCAGCTACTGAGGGCAGTGCTACTGTAGAGGAGAATAAAAGACAGTGAAGTGGAGGAACTTGCTGGAGGTGTGGTTGCTTCTATTATGGATGGAAAAATAATGTGTGAACATGTTTTTGATTGTGTAACAACAACAACTGGCTTGAAATGCTGAAATGAAAATTTCCCTTCCAGGTGCTTTGGTGGTGCAGTTGCACTGCAGAATTTGTGGGCTGGAAGAATACTAGTCCTTGCCCTGGACATGGGAACTGGTGATTACTACAGTTTCCAAGACTTATGTCATGTAACTCGTTAAATGTGCTGGAAGAAGAACCTCTAGGGATACAGTGAGTGGCACAGCAAGCAGAGCTACCTGCTCTGCAGTTATGGGCTTTTAGCACCTAATGTTTATAGTCACTGGTTTGGACAAGTTGCTGTTGTTTCCAAACCTTTACTAATTGTCAGGGTTGATTATTCACTATGTTAAAGGTGTTGCTTTTGCTGTATATTTTTTCTGGAACTTAAGACTGTCATAGCAATCTTTCCAGGCAAGAAAAATAGAACATCTGGAAGAATTAGCCTGATTGTTTCAATGTTATTTCTATTTATCTCTCCCTCCTTCAGGATGACAACTGGGGTGAGACCACAACAGCAATCACAGGCACCTCTGAGCACAGTATTTCCCAGGAGGACATTGCCCGGATCAGTAAGGATCTGGAAGACAGCGTTGGGTTGGACTGCAAACGTTACCTGGGCTTAACAGTGGCAGCTGTTCTCGGACTCCTAGTCTTCCTTACCCCCATTGCCTTCATTCTGTTACCCCAGATCCTGTGGCGAGACGATCTGGAGCCATGTGGTACTGTGTGTGAGGGACTGTTCATCTCTGTGGCGTTTAAACTCCTCATTCTCCTGATCGGGACCTGGGCTCTTTTCTTCCGCCAACCCAAGGCAGACCTACCCAGGGTGTTTGTGTTTCGGGCCCTTCTGCTGGTCCTCATCTTCCTCTTTGTGTTCTCCTACTGGCTCTTCTATGGCGTTCGCATCTTGGACTCGAAGGACACCAACTACCAAGGGATAGTGCAGTACGCCGTGTCCCTGGTGGATGCCCTGCTCTTCATCCACTACCTGGCCATCGTGCTGCTGGAGCTGCGGCAGCTGCAGCCCATGTTCACCGTCAAGGTGGTGCGCTCCACGGACGGAGAGTCGCGATACTACAGCTTGGGACACCTCAGGTAGGTGCAAGCCCTGGGGGTCTGCTGGTGTAGATAAGTGTGGCTCTGCTGTGGTGTGAAGCATCAGCTGCTGCATTTGAGTCTGTGTTGTTGCTGGTTCGTGAATCTTCCCCCAGAAGAATTCCAGAGTCCCTCCGAAGTTACCAAACTGAATCTCTCTGCCCCCCTCTCTGAGTGTGGGAGAGGCTGTATCTGCCTCAAGGAGTCCTGTGCATTTCAGTAAATCAAAAAAGCTGATGTCATTATTTTGGGATGGTCAATAGCCTGATGAGGTCTTTAAGATCCTTGTCTGGGCTTCTTTCCTTGTCTCCTTACTGGAGGAAAGTGGAGAGCTCTCCTTGTGCAGTTGGGGCTGCCTTGTGCATTTTGATTGTAGGGGCCAGGCACTGCTTTGGGAGCTGCCCTTGATGCTGTGCAGAGCATTACTGCTCAGAGACTCCTGACAGCAGGCCAGGCAGGAGCTGAAGGTTTTATGGCATGATGCTCTTTTTGCCATTAGGTATGGATCAGTTTGCTGAGTTGGATGTATCTGGGGGTATTTGGGAGCCATAGGTATGACACAAGCATGCTGCTTCCACCCTCCTGCTGGCATTAGTGCTTCCCTCAGCAATGGTACAAAAAAGGACAGGTGTCTGAATTGCCTTAGTTCCTGTGTCCTTCAAAGCTCTCCAGAAATCCCTTAGTTCCTGTGTCCTGTGAAGCTGGCAGCTGAGCTCTGGAGATGATTCCCCAGGCTGAATGTGCACTTAAACATCTGTTCAGCTTATCCTGTCCAGACCCCAGTGGCATGTGTATCTGTGGCAGATGAAGAGATTAGCATCTGCTGGTTTAAGTGGATGTAGGAGCAGTCTCCTGCAGCCATTAGCTTAGCAGTGGAATTGCTTTGAAGCAGATTTAGTGGCTGAAGCTGAAGTCTGTGAGTTTTCTCCTGGGTAAAGAAGAACTCAGGGCCTGTTGGGTGAAGTAGATCTGGACTCTGCTTTGTTTTCCTTCTCTGTAAAATACGAAGGGGAGAGCCCTTGGAAGTGCACCAATTGACTTAATTAAATGTCTCTCAGGATTTCAAAAATCTGTTGGTTTTCTTGTGAAATCATTTTGTTTGAGCTTAATTGCTCTGTGGTCAGTGATCCAGCATAACCTATATGATGAGAGGGAAAGATGACTACCAGAGTTTCCCTGTGCTACAATACTGTGCCTTGACGTGTGATGAGGCAGTTCAATCATAAGTGAATTCAGCAGAGAAAGTTTGGTATGTGTCTGTATTTACCCATATGTGCACACACAGCAGATTTGGTATGAGAGTTTGCTTGGTGGTAGATTGTGGGTTTGTGCTCAGAGGAATGGAGATCCTACACCTGCCAAAGTCTGTATGTCTAACTTGCCATTGGAGGCAAAGAATTTGCTTGAGAATCAAGGCCTGAATATTTAATAGTGCATGTGTTAGAAGCAATGTTTTCTCCCAACTCTTTCTTTGCAGCAGAGTTTTGAAATGTATTGGGTGATGCTAAGGCAGTAAAGAGTTGTAAAACTTAGGATAAAATCTGAGATGTATGAAAACTTGTGACTTCTCGTTTGTTGGCAAGCTGATTTCAGTTTTGTTTGGTACATTGAATGCAAGCCATGCAGCACATGCACGCGCCAGTGTCTTGTGTTACAGAAGAGACTCATCAAGCATGTCTGATAATGCTAAACTAGTCTTGCTTTTTCCTTTGTTTGACAGATGAGCATAATGTGTATTGACATGTGTTTTGAAACCTGTGTGTCTTTCCATATTTACTGCTACAAAGGTAAAGCTGTAGGTTTGATCAGGGGCCAGGTGTCTCCCAGCTAAGGAAGAGTTTGTCCTCTCTGTGTGTTACTTGTGTGTAAGAGCTTCTGATCTTCATAAAGAGTGTGGCGCCAATGTGACAAACTGTAAAAAGTGAATGTAGTAATATCTCCTTCAGCTTCTAAGGGCCTAGGATTGTGAGATGTTTGTGAAAAATGAAAAAAAAAAAAGAGAACTTGATCATCTTCACGGCATAATTTTGCAGAGTTTTTATTAAGGTCTTGTCATGTCTGTTGAGGAAATGTAGGTCAGGTTCACAAGGTGCTGCCTTCTGCCCCTGATTCTCTGGCTGAGTTGTGAGGCTAGAGTGGGAGGTCAGTTGATGGCAGAATGTGAAGACATGCAAGGACAATCTGGATTTTGGGAAGGCTGGAGAAGCAGCCTTGTGGGTGTGCTGGAGAGGTGGTTCTAACTATGCTGGAGTAGGCATGTACCACTGGCTGCTGCCTTTGGACTCCTTTTGCCACCATGCATGCTTGCCTCATCCTAACACTTTTAAAGGGGGCTTGGAGAGGTTTTGAGCTGCCACCTGGAAGGAAGCAACTTGCTTTTACAGGTATAGCAATCTGACTGTCTCCTGAAATCAAAACCTTTTGTCTCTTTATGCTCTCAGATATTTTAAAAGTTTTGATGACAAACAATCCATGGAGTCTTATCTTCCTCAGCAGTCTAGTGTGCTCTGGAGAAACTGGTGGTGAGAAGGGACTTGAGACATCTTAGATTGCTCAGTGTTGCTTTTTGGAGTCATTCTGGATTTTTTTTATTCACTGCAAAATTGTTGATATCACCCTTTTTAATCCAAGATGGAAGCTTTCCAATTCTAGGTCTTTTCTGGTGAGGCAGAGGGAGCTGTATGTATGAGAGCAACTTGTTTTCTGGGGGAAAAGGGAAGAAAACAATAGCTCAGCCGCCCTTCTGGCAAACCATGTTTTTGCGAGGCAGGGTACAGACAGGATTTTCCACCCTCCTTGGCTGCAGATGCAGTAAAGAAGCTGAAAGTGCTGAGTTAGGTATTCCACTCCACCCCTGAGAGCCCTAGGTCCAGGAGGGTAAGCATATTTGGGACTAGTTCCCCAAATTCATATTATAATCAGCCTATTAATAGGCTGTCTTGGTCCCACCCCCAGCACTTTGGCTTTAACTTTTCTTCTGGGAGACTTGACTGCCAAAATGAACGTTCCCTTTGGCGTTGATTCAGGAGCTTGGAGGGGGGAGGTAAAAATTAAATAGGAGTCTTGATGAGTGTGGTGCCAAGTCTCAGCTCACTGACTGCTCTGCTGCTCCTGGTAGGAAGGGTTGCCACACAGGGCAAATGCTCTCTGGTAGTATGTGTGGATAAAAGAGCAGGGAGTAGCAGAGATGCAGGAAAGGTCAAGCCTAGGAAAATGCAGGAGGTTGGGTGGGAATGGTGGTGAGACTCTGAAAGCAACAACAAAGGGAAACAAAGGTGGGGGAGCACAACAGTAGATAACTTCTCAGTTGAAAGGCCCATACTTTCGCAAGTGGAAGCCTGGATTTGCCTATAAATAGGGATGCTGATGACACTTGTCATCCAGAGTTCGGTACTGTCTTCATGGCTCAGAAACTGGGTAGGAAGGATCTTGCTGGAGAAACCCTTCCTTTCCTGTAGTTAGGGTGCTAACCATATTGCCTTCCTATCCAGTGAATGCTCTTTCCCACCCTAGAGCTTTGCTAGTCTAGACAGCTCAAGAAAATGAATGTCTTGTAATACATGTGGTAATTACTGATCTTTCACATAGACTGAATGTTGGGCTGCAATATAGCTAGTCTTGGTTTTCTGAGGTTAGAAATGTTTGAGAGTGGGTCCTTTTCCTCCCTTTTGCTCATCCTTGCAGCAGGTATGTGAGCAGCATGGCTGTGATAGTTCATCTTGTGTCAGGCTGTTTAAAGGACTTGGAGTTTCAGTCTTTTTTTTTGTCTGGTGGTTTACCCCAGCTGGCAGTACCACACAGCCCCTCACTCACACCTCACTCTGTAGGATGGGGGTGAGAATCAGCAAAAAGGTAAAATCTGTGGGTTGAGATAAGAACGGTTTAATATTTTAATTAACATATAATATAATTCTAATTATAATGACATTGATAATAGTTATTGTAATGAAGAGGGGGGAGAGAGGGAAATAAAACCCAAGGAAGGCAAGTGATGCTCAATACAGTTGCTCTCCACCCACTGACTATTGCCTGGCCTGTTCCCAGGCAGTGATTGGTGGCTCCTGGCCAGCTGTCCTCAGTTGATACACCCAGCATGATGTTCTGTGGTATGGAATATCCCCTTGGCCAGTTTGGGCCAGCTGTCCTGGCTGTGCTCCCTCCCAGCTTCTTGTGCAACTCGTCACTGAATGGCAGAGCATGGGAAAATGAAAAGTCCTTGACTTAGAGTAAGCAGTGCTTAGCAACAACCCAAACATCAGTTTACTAGGAAGAAAAGTAATGCAATCCTGGAGAAAACCAGGACACTGTCCTTTCTGGTGTGGGCTTGCCTTTATGAACCAGGTGGCTAGGAAGCTGATGGGGAAGCCTGTGACATCAGGGTTCAGGTTTTGCAGATGGCTGTGAGCTGGTCAGTGTTCTCTTGTCAGTCTAATCAAAAGAAGCTTAGTACTCAGAAGTAGCAGTTCTGCATGGTAAAAGTGTGCTCGAACATTCCCTGTACCCTTGTTACCCATCTCCATTTGCATGGGTGTTTGCTGAACTGTGGTTTAAAAATTAAATTAAACTGTGGTTTAAAAATAAAGGGAACAGCTGTTTCCTCAAAACAAGTACCTGTCTCTGAAAACCCAGTACCTTCCCTGCAGGAATTATCAATACCTTACTGAGGGACCTGGTGGCTTGCACACACTCACAAAAGAAAGGAGCTGCAGACATGTTCTGTGGAAGGGGATCACATTCAGTCTCCCAGCTGCTCTGGGTGTTTGTTGGACCTGTTGCTTATGAAGCTGATCTCTAGGTTGTCAGTATTTACTGATTAATCTGATGAGTCCTCTCTTCTCAGGCATTCCTTGGTGCCACTGGTACTTTGTTCACTACTGAGGGAGTGTGTGGAAGGCTAAGGAGTGGGAATAGGCCTCTCCATATTCCAGTTTGCATTTGTAAGCCTTGACATCTGATCTTGTTGCTCAAATATACCTCCCCATATCAAGGGTGCTAATGAA